TAATCTGTATTCACTCTTTAGAGTATTTCTGGGTATTCCTGATGGTAAAGCTTATACTATGTGGGATGATATTTTTGGTTAAAATAAAATTTTATATATGCATTTAAATGTTATAGAAACTTGCTTTTAAAAAGCTGATATTGCAGCCATCATTTGAATGCACGATTATATTGTATCGGGACGCAACGGACATAATATCTACCTACGTCTACTTTTTTGAACCATACGTTAATTCATTTGTTCACTTAAATTTCTATTAAATCTCATATATAATTTTTATTCGCGTTATTTCGGTGAAACGTTTGATCTCCGGAAATTTCAACAATATCAAGTATGCTCGAAAAAATCATAATGTGTCTTGATATCAAAGTGCTACCCCTACTTTGACTCAATTTAGGTATCTATTTACCGCCAATTTTGCGACTATTACGAGTATAATGTAAATGGAACGTATCCGCTATTTATTTCAAGTCTGACAGTGACGTCACTCGGGGTGGTAATTTGGTGGGATTAGGCCGAATGTGGATCACCAATATGAAATTTCCTATGTTATCAATAATCGGTGAATTGAAATCTTTTTTTTTGAAATAAACATAATTAATAATATCGAGATATTATACAAATCAGAAATATGATTAAAATATATAGAAAAAGGGTGCAAGCACTGAATATTTTTATGACCTTCATTAACTGCTGTTGTTGAAGTTAGTTATACAAAATGGCACAATTGTATTATTTAGAAACCTAATGAAGAATATTTTTTCATCCATGACTTCAGAGTACCGAGAGCAGCGTATATCACTTTTTCATATAGAGAATCCATCGAATGGCATATTTAATTGTTCATTGTGGACTATATATTGTTTATATTCTGAACAAGTCTCTGATATTTCAATACCGTCAAAGTTCAATAGTATTTAAATAATCCACACTATACGAGTACATGCAACACATTTATTCAAACCACTAAAAATAAAATGAAAAATTCAAATATTGAATTCGAAGCAATGTACTTTTTCGTATATATTTTAACAAGACAAATAAATGGTAGTTTTAAAGCGAGACATAGGCAACTTAAGTGATTCGGACCTAAACAATGAAAACCATGAGAAAAATATTCTGGCGTAATTGTTTGCATTCAAACTAGAATAAAAAGTCAAAGTGCGACCGATAATAATATGTACATAAAGAGCTATCCTTGCAGATAGCTAGTAAATTCACTCAAGCTTTTATTAGTATTTTCGAAAAGTTATTTGCGAGGCAATTCCTCAGCTGAGTAATCTCCAATCCTATTAGTTGTAGCAACCACCAACTTTAAACGTCGGAAATTTCTTTCATGTAACGGTGTAAATACATTAGTAATGTGATCTATATCTTATTAACGGATGCTTTTGCAACATTTTGCAGCTTATTACCGGGGTTATAACTACTTTAAGTGAAAATTAGGGAAGCGCACTAACGGGAAACGATAACCAGGAAGAGAATAATGGTTTCGGTTACAATACAGACGACCTTAAAAGAAGGCTTGGTATTTTTGAACACCGCCGAAGATGGGCCATTTTTACGAATTCATTTATTTAGTAACAAGTCATCAGTTTTGCGTGAAATGCCACCACGCTATAGTACAAATTGTTACAAAAATGTAACAACTTTTAATGTTTTCATTGCATAAGAGCTGCATCGTGAGTATAAATTGGATTAAAATATACCTAATGTATTTTCACAGAGAACCTTTAAAATACAGTCTTCTAATTTTATCTTTTTCTTATTAATTTAGACCGCAACTTCTTTTGATGTAGACGGAAGCGTCTCACCCATAAACCAATTAGTTATCTACTGATTTATAATTTGTTAATTAAAAAACCTAAAATTACTATTTTAAACTGAACACCTTTTAAACCTTCGTGCATACTTGTGTTCATTTAAAAAACAGGTCGTGGCATTTCTTTAATTTATTTACAAAAAATACACGAATACAAAAAGCACAGGGAAATGGATTTAACGGGGAAAAATACAACACATAAAGAATTATTCGCTGTTAGTCAACTAGTGGTTGGCAGAAGTTCCCAAGAAAATGTAAAAATTATTTTGAGTTTTCACGGAATGTTACAGTCTTACGTATACTATAATTTCTTGACTCAGACAAGTTCCTCCTGTAGGATTTCATAGGTTACGTATTAGAAGAGACAAATGTGTTTATAATGAATTTGTTTTATTTATATGAACCCGGAAATCTGATGTTTACATTTCAAAATTCGTAAGGAAATAAAAAAACTAAATTTAGAATAACTTAAAAAAAATCAACGTGATCTCAATGTCCCCTCTGCTTGCGCATGGATTAAAAAGGCTCCAAATCATCACCCATCTCGTCTCTTTTCGTAAGCTACGATTAAAATTACTTTTGGCTCATGGGTGGCAAAGTACTACTATGACGACTTTCGGCTTATAAGTGCATTTGGAAAGATACTCTTCGAGATATTCTTACAAATCCTATATCTAAGTTTTAAACGACGGATACTTTTTGGATTATTCGGTAATTCAGACCACCCAAACGTTTTCGCTTTTGTTTAAATTTGTTACTTGATTTATGTAAACTACAGGTATCTACGCGTCATTTTTAAATATGATGATACCGTATGGAAGAGCACTATCTGTTGTAATTTTGCTTATACTGAAAGAAAGTATTACAAGGATCATCTTCGATTGTAAACAAAGTTAAAAGCGCAGAGTTTTATCGGTGCGACGGAAATAATTCAGAATACTAGCACTATAAATTTTTTTTCAGTTTTTGGGGATTTTGGTATGTTAAAATTAAATTCATTTCATATAATAGGTAAATATTTATAATATGTAAACTCAATAAATATTGAATTGTGCCTTTTATTTCTCACGGACTCGACCGTGACTCAACTTCGATCCATCCAGTAATAGGCACGCCTCAACTGTGTCGAATACGCTTCAGAGATAATTACTAATAAATATTTTGCAACCTACATCCAAGTAAATTCACAAAATACAGGTGAATTTAAATTTTGGGATAAGTATTTTTCATCCTTCCATTGAGTATCATTCACGACATTAAGAAAGAAATGATGAAGGCAATAATAACATTTTCAAATTCACGATTTTCAATTTTCTTAATTTGCGTAATTTAATATCAATTTATTTTACCAACTACGGGTCTAAACAGTCAAGTCTAGAAACAAGCGTTAAGAAATAGCTTGCAATCACTTTTTATTATGATTCAATTGTCTCAGAAATAGTATATTTTACTGAAAAACAAAATACATAATTAGCAACATTCTGAAAAACGATGTGATTACAATATCTAAGCACTTGTAATCAAATATGATGTGGTACCACAGTCGTTGGATCAAAAATCTCTGACCGACATTGGTCTCGGGATCTTCATGTGTTACAGAGTGTGCACGCATATTATGTGTAGTCGGACATCTCAAAGAAATGCAACACATATCAATACCCAACGGTCGTTTCAAACAACCCAGTACGCCATTAGTGAGGTAATAAATTAAATGCACCAAACTCGAAAAAATTCTCTTCGCTTCTACAGCTAGTCTTCAGAAAAGAAATCGTTTTATGAATGATTCAATGGTGACACCTAACGAATAGAAAATAATCATAGATCCTCAAAATGTATGTCTATCGGTTTTACTCGCTTTTCACTAAAGGATCTCAGTAATCTCTCCACTCCTCTCAGCAATGGATCAATGGCGATTTGAATGATTTGAGGTACACGTATATAAGCAAATAAGTGGGTCTCGTAAGCCATTTATACCTCAAAAGGGACAGTCAATTGGAGTCTCCCACTTGAAGATAGCTACATGGCCGTGCAAAAATATTATAACACTTGTACTAAAATATTATATACTTATTATTTTTTTTGATATATGACTTGAAATAATTTGGATAATCGATTTACTTAATTTTCTGATGGAAACTGTACTTGAAACTTGTTAATAACGAGAATCAAGTTCGAATCATAAATTAAATAACTATCCATATAATGATAACGAGAAGAAATATATATAATCAATGGTAGATCTTTAACAGGCATATATATACATATGTAAAGGCATACAGAGAGGATAGAATTGAAATTGCTTTTGATGAAAATGTATATTCAATACAAGATAAAGAAAAGTTTGTCAAATTATTGTATACTGCACATAAGTCCGTAAGATCAAATTTCGTAAATTTGAAATAAATATCAATTGTACAGATTTTGGGAAAAAATAATATACGCCATCTACAATTTTTCTGCGCAATGTGAATAAAATATTGCTGATTTCACGCTAGCTACACGTGAAAGCGTGTACGAATAATCGACTGGATAAACCATATGATCAAATTTTTGACCAGTAGTTTGATGTGTTCTATAAGCTCTATTCTATAAAAATCTTTCAAAATGCCAAAAATATTCGATTTGGCTTCCTTATGTCTCGCTATCATACTGGTTTTACAGTCAAACATAACTGCTTTGATAAACAAAAGAGCAATGCGAAAATATATGGACACGTTGCCAAAACGATGTAGTATCAAAACTCCCACAGTGCCGGTAGTCTGACCACCAGATCAATGAGATGTGATCAAGGAACCACGGCAAGCAATGATTGATTTTGATGACTTCATCACACACAACTTTATATAAAAACGAATCCCACAGATATTTCTGAAATAAATAAAAGTAATACCCTCCTAGCTACAACCACAAGTTTTAACCACTGAAAATTTCAAAGCAATTGGTACAGTTGTCAATAAAAAAAGCATTTTTTTCATAATCACAAGAAATAAATCTAACAACAACGACAGCATAATACCAAAACGATTCATATGTACATTTTATGTCCAAAAAGCATAAAGTATCACGCAATAAGCATAAGTGCAATTTTCCGGGGCCAAAGGTCGTGAAAACATCCATTCACAAATTTCGTAATGTTGACATTTCATGCTCGAGTAATTCTCCGCAGTATATATTCTCACTTCTCGCTCTCACACGTCTCCTTTCACCAGCTGACACCGTTGCTGTTTCTTTTGTGCCAGGTAGAAAATTGCCGAAGATGACGCCTTTACCTTACAAAGTTGCTGATATAAGTCTTGCCGATTTCGGTCGCAAGGAAATAAATATAGCAGAAAATGAAATGCCAGGACTTATGTCGCTACGAAAATTATACGGGCCGTCAAAACCACTAAAAGGCGCTAGGATAGCGGGGTGCCTGCATATGACGATTCAGACAGCAGTTTTAATAGAAACTCTCAGAGAATTGGGTGCAGAAGTACAATGGTCGTCATGCAATATTTTTTCCACACAAGATCATGCTGCCGCAGCTATCGCATCGACCGGGGTTCCAGTTTTTGCATGGAAAGGTGAAACAGATGATGAATACATGTGGTGTATTGAGCAAACATTGGTGTTTTCAGATGGCCAACCATTAAACATGATTTTGGATGATGGGGGCGATCTTACTAACTTGGTACATCAGAAGTTTCCTCAGTATTTAGAAGGAATCAAAGGGATATCTGAAGAAACAACAACAGGTGTTCACAATCTGTATAAAATGATGGAAAAGGGTACTCTCCATACCCCCGCAATCAATGTAAATGATTCGGTTACCAAAAGCAAATTTGATAATTTATACGGATGCAGGGAGTCGCTGGTTGATGGAATAAAACGAGCTACCGATGTTATGTTGGCAGGAAAAGTTGCAGTCGTTGCAGGATATGGTGACGTCGGAAAAGGAAGTTCGTCTTCACTTCGTGCTTTTGGTTGCAGAGTCATAATCACGGAAATTGATCCGATCAATGCATTGCAAGCAGCAATGGAAGGATATGAAGTTACAACAATTCAAAAAGCTGCTTCTCGTGCCAACATTATCGTTACAACCACTGGTTGCAAAAGCATTGTTACTCAAGAAATATTCGAAGCGTTGCCCAATGATGCAATTGTTTGCAATATTGGACATTTTGATTGTGAACTTGATGTCGCATGGCTCAATAAGAACGCAATTGAAAAAGTGACTGTTAAGCCACAGGTTGACAGATACAGAATGAAAAGTGGAAAGCACGTCATTCTACTCGCAGAAGGACGATTGGTCAATCTTGGGTGTGCAACAGGTCACCCAAGCTTTGTCATGAGTAATTCATTCACCAATCAAACTCTTGCACAAATTGAACTGTGGTCGAACAATGCTGAGTACAGCAAGTATGCAAAGGGAAAAGTTTACATGTTGCCCAAACAACTTGATGAAAAAGTCGCAGCATTGCATCTTGACCATCTCGGGGTCGAGCTCACTAAATTATCAGAAGATCAATCGCAATATCTAGGGGTCGCTGTCAAAGGGCCGTACAAACCAGAACATTATCGTTACTAGTTTCACAAGTATTGGTGTATCTGTAATCCCCAGAGCATGGCAGTTGGCTTAATTGCAAAAACTGCTAGCAAAGAAGGAAGGTTTTATTTCGAAATTGAAAAAATGTTAAAACCTATTTTGCAAAATGCTGACGTGCGAACCTAATAAATTTACCACGTATTTCCATACATCCACAATATATTACGAGTTCATGAACTAGACTGTTACTGTTTCTCTTTCTACTGTAATAAAAATTGGAATTGGCAACAGTGAGAACGTACATTTTATCTTATTGATATGTTTGGTGTGTTAGAATCCGATACAATTAAAATGCTTCAGAAACTCGAATTAATCCCGTCGTTGAATGGCAAAGTCGTTTTAAAATAAACTATCTATCAAAACAAGATAACATCTGTTTGATTAAGCACACTATTGCAGACTTAGCATTTCGGGAACCCTACGATTCAGCAAATTTGCTAATGATTAACCGCAGTGGTCTTTACTCTACTAAAACGTTTCGCAATCTGTCCTCATTCCACGACGTTGCTCGAGTACGGCGATCATGTTGGTTAGTGTACATAAGATAAGCTGGTTTAAGATATTCTAGTATGAGTTGGCCATTATGTAAAATTCATTTAGGATGACTGATACATTCATTTGTGTTGTAGGTAGGGTTGAGTGTTTCGAAACCCTGATATATATGTCGTTTGACTTAACAAAAAAATGCCAACGTCATATATTTTATCTTAATTATTTCAGATGCGTATGGTATGAACCCACTGGTTCGGAAGGATCTGTGGTATCGAATAAACAGGGGTGGCCAACACGTCGATCGCGATCGACCGGTCGATCGCCACGTCTCGAGCAGCCGAATGCGTCTAATGTTGAGTGAATTTTATTGAAATGTCCCCAAAAATTGCCTCGAACCACTTTACATGCGCAAAATACAATATACACATACAGCAGCGGTTCCAAAAGGGTGTACCATGACGAGTTAGGTGCGCCGCGAAAATTAACAGATATTGTATTTATTATACACGTTTCTTGTTTTAAATGCTGTGTATATAGAATAAGGATCAATAAATTTATTTTACTTTTCTATGTCATTTACTGCCTGTTACGTAGTGTCTGCCTCTATTGTTATGTAACAATAGAGGGAGAAACTACTTGATGCAATTTCGTGAGCTGCAGTTCATATATCTACTGAACCCAGTTTAGCAAATATGGGTGTTTTTTCCAGCATTTCGAAGGGAAATAGAGCAAAGATGAGGAAGAAGAGTTGACCTTTTGCTTTCATTCCTTATGCCTACGTGTTTACAAACTTTCTAATGCATATATATTAAGTACAAATTAGCGATAACAAAATTAAGTTTTATTTCAAAAGCAGCATTTTTTTCGTATAAGTGCGCCGTGAGTTTTTTTTCCGTTTGGCGCCGCATGAACAAAAAGTTTTTGAACCGCTGACACACAGTATTTGAGTCTGATAAAGCCTATTATTGCGTAAAAAATGGCAGTTTTTCCAGGGTTTAAAAATTAAGTGCCGAATATCGCGTGTCTAGAGTCTAGACCAGGGGTCGGCAATATACGGCCCCTGGATCAGATCCGGCCCGCGGAACAATATAATCCGGCCCGCGACGCTTCACTGAATTATATTAACAAAACAACTGTATTGACGATATTCGTTACGTTACAGATTTTTTTTGAGACACTAAATTATATTATAACCTAACATGTATATATATAATTCACAATCACTCGTTTAATGAGCCTATGAATCGATTATAATTAAACAAATGGCAACAGAACGTAAAAAAGTTGATGCTGAGTGCAAATGATTTAATGGCGCAGAAAATATTCAAATGATCAGTCTTCGCGCGCCTGAAATTTAACTGGAATCTGTGTGAAAAAATGTGATTCATTGGCCATTTCTTCGGTTTTTAACTTTCTAAAAGTATGTGCGGCCCGCCAATGACTTGAAACCTTCAATTTTGGCCCGTGAACGACGAAAGTTTGCCGATCCGTGCTCTAGACTGACAAACGATCATACAATAACTTCCGCAGTATGCGAATGTTATTGTCTCACTCCAAGATTAGTGTGATAAATTTTATTCGCAATGGTAGCAGTGGCATCAAAATGCCAAATTTGTTCTAATTCTAAGCAAGCGAAGAATCGCGTTTGGAGAAAATTGTAAATTGGATACTGAAGTTTGAGAAGTCAAGTAACATTCATGGTTTGAGAGAGAATATTTATTTTTCGCTGTTTGGATAATACTTGGCAAGGTTTCTTGAAGACTTTTCAACACTTACTAAAAATTAGTTACGCCCTTTATCTGAATTGTATGATTTAAATAAATCTCAAATAAATAATGAAACATTCACTCCGGGTACAATTAAATAATAAAATCAACAACCTAAATAAAACATGAAAAATACAAATTTTGTGTCGATTTTAATAACATAAGAGTTATGCTCAAATATATGGACACGGATGTACGGCGCTATTCGCCATTCCTCATTACCAAGTCCTAGCAAAGCAAGAATTTCGTTACATGGAAACCACCGACGTTCGATGAGCACTTGATCAAAAGAACAAGGTGATGAGTGCCACCATAAACACAAATCGATTAGGTGTCAAAAAAAACGAATTCCCCCGTGATGTTCGGGAATTTTGAAATAGAGAAATTTGGTTTCCAACCTCTGAAAATTCCAGAGCAATTGGTCCAGTAATCAAAGAGAAAAGCGAATTTTTAGGTTTTCTACTAGGTGTCTAGAAAAAAAGCAAAACGATCCATAGGTCCACTCCGTGTCCAATAATGTGCCTACAAAGTCTTTTTATTGGCAGCGGTGGAATTTTTTGTATGCGGGTGTGCAGTTATCTGCACATTCAGTGCTCATTCGTTTTTGTGTAGGACCTTATTACCGATCAGTCGATTCGCGATCTATGTTGAAGATAGTCGATCACGGTCAAAAGCAGGTTGGCCACCCGAGGAATATAGCATCAAATGAGCTCAATCATAACATGCGATGCAAATCTACTTACATTGGTCCACTTAGGATAGTTTTTATATATTTATCCCGGAGTAGGGAAAATGCGATCAGACAACTATATGGCGCATCCGACTTCTCTCCCCGATACTAGTCCATGTCGGGTATGGTATAAGTTGCTAGTATATGTTTCAGATTCATGGACATTGAGGGTGGGGGAAGCTGCAACCGACCAGCAGTTATGTGAAACACCGTGCGGCGAGTAGCTCAGCAATACACCCGCACATCGTTATCTGCCACATGATGCGAACCCACGGAGGGTAATCAGAGGTGCGATGGCAAGCGTATTGCTAACACTGAGCACCGTAGACTAACATGGTGGCGTGATAATAATATGTGTTCTCAAATTTGTCAGTTACAGCATCCTCAACTATTTATAGAAGGTGTTCTCGATTGCAGGTAAAACTGCTAGAGAATTGAGGCCAGGCTCAATAGGCAAACGCGTGGAAACCCTTTCAAGGAAACTGCTGATTTTTGAATGCATTAATTAGGAAAAAGTGGTTACATTTTACTCGCGCTTCTCTAAATGTACACCGATTTTCTTTTATTTACATGTACAAGTATATATGTAGAAATTCATTGCACATTTTTTTTCGTATAATTCGATTTGGTAACTGTTATATCATTAAGCAAAAACCGCAGTGACCGGTACGCCATATTTCTTCATAACCGCTCGATCATTCTTGGGGTTCCGCACTTAAAATATTGTTTTGTAATAGGTAACCAATTATATATAGATTACAGTTTTCGATGAGGTCAATGTACCGAGAGGTACCTAAAATCATGTTGAAATCTCTCTTGTAATAAGAGGTCGACGGTAATATATATATTTAATGTGGAATTTGGTTATACATTATATATAGGCTTACCATACGTCCCGCTTTAGGCGGGACAGTCACGCTTTTCAGCGTTTTGTCCCGCCGTCCCGATAAGTCAACTAAAAGTCCCGCTTTTCCAGCATAATACAAAAGCATGTTCTCGTTACTGTTGTTTCTGTGTAGCGCAGCGCTAGCCTACTTACTGAAGGTGAATGCGTTCGTTTCCCGCTGATTCCCATTGATGGCAGACGTATCGCATGTAAAACCAATACTAATTAGTCTAAATTCGAATTATTTGTACCGGTTTCGTTAACGTCAATTTCTTCCTATTTTTCGAACTGAACCCGATATTTGGACAGAGAATATGCGCATGAAATTTCGATAACAATATGGTCAATAAAGACAGCCGAGACAGCTTTAAATGTAGGCCTATTAATGATGGGACGAGTCCGGCATTACTGAGATTCGACGAATCCGAGTAATAGGTCAAGGACTCGAATCGAATCCTCCGAGTCCGTGACGTCACAATGTAAAAGTAGAAAAACACGTTTTTGACCATACTACAGCATCGCGCGCTTACAAACATACGTCGTAGCTCATATTTTTTTCCCTAATGGTTCCGCAGATAGCTGTTGAATCAATTTAAAAATATATTTTTCTTCTTTTTTGGCGGCCATAATACAAACGTAAACGAGGGTCAATGTGTGCTTTGGCTGTGAACCTGATTTCCAGCCCACCACCTTGCATCAATTCTGGGCGGCTATTTAGAAATTCTTACATGGCAATATGAAAAATCAAAAGCTTTTGACTGCAATGCTTTCCCATAATTCCAGATATTTCTAGCCTTAAATTTACTATGTCGCGTGCGCAAATGGTAGAGAGATGCCACTCGTCGTCAATACAATTGCAATTTAGTGGTTCATGTAAACGTTCTAAAACGCTCCATGCTTTCCATTGCTCATTTTTAGAGAAAGAATTGCACGTAATAAACTCGATTTAGAAGATGTATTGATGGGATTCCCCCTTGGGTTGATCCTGCGCATGTTTCATATTTATTCATGCGAATCGAAAACTCAAAAATATTGCGCTAACGCATATTTTATTGTGTACCACGTCCACGTGTATACTAAAAAGGATAGATAGTTTGAAGGCGACTGGCGCATCATTGTTATAAGCTATCAATAATTTTTAACTTGCGTTATATTATCTGGATATACGTCGTCGTTTTTATTAGGAGTGTTTATAATAGCCTACACACGAGTGATATTGTTACATATCTAACCTTGAATTTCAACTAGTTAAGGTATGTAGTGAGATTTATAGGGGTAAAAGTACAAACATAGGCGTAAATTAGTAAAAACATAATTGATTATGGACTCGGTAAAATCGATGTGGACTCGAAATCGAATCAGAGTCCAAAAAATGCCTGGATTCGACTCGAATCCCGGCCCATTCCTAAGGCCTATGTAGTAAAATCGGAAAGTGTGAAGTTATAAAATCACAGCTAAGGGGTCGTTGTCTTTCTAAGCGTCCCGATTTGAAGTCACAAAAATGTGGTAATCCTAATTATATATATCAGGGGTCGGCAACCTTTTATCGCTAGCGAGCCCAAATGGAGGGTTGCAAGTCTCGGCGGGCCGCACATATTCTTAGAAAGTCCAAAACCGAACGAATGGCCGATGACTCGCAATTTTTCGCACAGATCAGAGGTTGAAAGTTTAAACTCGTCAACTCAACACAGTCGTCTTACTTGAAGTAAAAATAAATTAACAATTGACATTTAATGTAACACTTTTTGCTGCATCACACTTCGCACGTTTTCGACATCAGGCGGCACACTTGGATGAAGCCAAGATTAGAACATTTTCTGAATGAGAATCACTAACCTGATTCAGATAAATTGCGCATCGAGTGGTCACTAGAACTAGATGGTTAAATAAACAAATGCCCGCTTGTCCTTTTAAACCGGGGATCACCAAACTACGGCCCGCCGAGTCCTTTCATCCTGCCAGCGATAACCGAAAAATGGCGATTTTTTCGACTTCCTTGTTCATTTCGTAACATTGGCCAATCAGCAAGTTGCAAAAAGTGACGTGACAATAGACCCTTTCGCATCCACTCAGACAGTTTTTCAGTCGTGGTTTTAAACAATAGCCTACTTCATTTTCACGATTTTGGAAGCTATTTGTCAGTTTTTGCTCGCGATTCCGAAATTTAAGTATGAATCAAATAAGTCAATCATCATTTTACCTCTTTAGGAGTTGTAGTTTAATTGCAGTAATCAAAAATTGTCTAGAAATAGCTGAGATAAAACAGGCTAAAATTCACTAATATTCGATTGATATTTTTCTTCATAATTACGATGTACCATTCAAAATCTCAATATAAAATATTGGCAGCAAAAATAGCCAAATCAGTTGCTATAGTTTGGTATAAATAGCTGAAAACGGGTCAAAATGCTGTTCCCGTTTCTACACGCGGGATGGGGCGAACACGGCTCAGATGGAATGAAGCAGATGCTGTAAACATGCCTCACGAATTTCGGTTTTAAAGTTTACATGGCACGCGTGCATTCTACACGAAGTAATAGGCGATTGGACAATAAATACGCTTGTTCTTACTTCCTTAAGGGGTTCGACAGTTATCCAAAGTGCCAAAAACAAGTCGAATCCGCGATTATAGACTTCCTTGTTTATTTCTACAACAGTGGATAGATAATCGATAAGTTGTTAGTGTTGACGCAGCAATTAAACTTTCAACTTCCACTGTTTTTACTCCCAATAGATTCAGGCACGATAGTAAACTTTGGCTCACTTTTGTTGTTTTGCTAGCTATTTGTCAATTTTTAATTATGTTTTAAAAATTTGGATATGGATCAATTGACTCAGGCACTCAGTTTACTTTACAGAGAGTTTTAGTTTAGTTGCAGAACAATAATCAAAAATTATTTCATAAAAAGTCGAGTTCTGATATGAACAATATTTCAAATATAAGTGGTAATTATCAACAGTAAATATGTTTGCAAACGCCAACGTGCAGAAGAAAAAAAACACTATCGAAAAGAACATAAAAAAATTTGCGAAGATATATCAATCATTTGCGAGGGTAAATTAATAAGGCAAAGGAAAAATTTTCTGGAATGGGAGAAACAGCCGCTGCACATTGGACTGCGTTAGGAAAACGAACTCCAGGTGGGCGATTAACTCCCACATAATTATCTCCTAATAAATTGAACTTTCGAAAGTACGAGTGGGAATCAGCGACAAACGTGTTCGTGTTCCTAAGGTTTAGCACAATTCATCAAACGTCGAATCATAACAACCTCATACTACTAAACTAGAGAAAAAATTCAAATAATCTAAAAATTGTTGTTTTTATTGTTGTTATTTTCAACACAATAAAACGTAGAGATCAAGAAATCTTTTCTTGGTTGACATTTCATCTGAAATAAAAAGATTAGGACAATTAAATTTCTGACGTAAAGAATGATAAACAAAAAATTGGTAAAAATTCAGATGCTAATGAAGATGCAAACCTGACCTCACACTAAGGTTTAAACCTGAAGAAAGTTCACAAGTAAGATAAGATAGGATTTCATATCTATCTGGAAGATAGGAACAACATGAAGTTTATCATGGAATTTGGTCAATTTCTACTAAAACACAAACCAAGAGTTTATATGTGCATCCCGATTTGCAAGGTATGGAAAAATTATAAATACAAGCAAATGTATAAGCAATCTTGCCGAAGCCAATTCTAAACAATGCCACACAAGTATTCAATCAAATTATAATAAGTAAATCAGGTTAGCATCACCATTCAAATATTGAATTTAAAACAAAATGTACACTCAGCAATCTAGAACCTTTTAAACCTGCCGAGTGCACGAGTGATTTTTAATCTAAACTCAAACCTTCACCACCACAGAGTGGTTTTGTAGTCTTGCAACTATAGCATATCATCGATGATGATTATGACGATCGCCAGAAGAATGTTGCCTTTTGCGGTGATGAGGACTTCGACTACGGGATCTAGAAACACAATTTGTTAAGGTGAAGTAACTTGTGAATCCCTTTAGCAAATGAAGGTACAGATTAAAGTATGACATAATATGTCCAGCAGACAGGCAAATAGACGAAGCAGGTTAACATTGGCAGTTAAGTCTGTGAACAGGTTTTTTCGATTAAATTCCAGTATTCAAATTGAAGCTCTGTTTGATATAAGATTTTAAAACCCTATGGCCTATGAAGACAGCCAAAGTGGCTACTGGTCGATACGACACAAAAATGGTAACCAACAATAACATACATGACAGGTTTTCAGAAGCAATATTTGTTTATGCGCATTTAATCTTCAGCAGCTCTGGTTGCATTAGCTAATATCACAACACAACCTATCTTAAAGTATAAGAATGAGGCATAAAGCATTTCCCCGATATAATAATGCAATGTAACATTAATAATTACACATAAATATACATACATACATAGAACAAATATATTAAATTATCATTAGTGTACCTTGATTTTTTGTTGTGACGATTGCGATGATTGTGTCTTCTGTGGCCCCGGCTATCATCGCTATTAACACTATTGGAAGATGAAGAGCTGTGTCTTCTACGTGATCTTGAGAAAAAAATAATGAATACTGATGAAATTTGAAGCATTCATGCAAGTATTTAGAAACTCAAAATGCATAAAAACTACGAAAATTGAAAAAGACCAAGCCGAACCAATCAATATGCATAGTTGTCTTTATACAATATAAAAAGGAATGTTGCTGTACACAACACTTCCATACACAACAAAGCAGTAGGAACACTTAATTTGCATATGTTACCAAGCAGAGTTCTGTACATCTCCCCATTATAGCATTATTCAATACCAACATCTGGGACAATTAGTTTCGTCTTTATACCCAAGTAGACTAGTTTCTGCCTCATTAATGAGTTTTCAAGGATGGGATTTACCTATTTATCCCGGGGAAGAGGAAAGAAAATAAGACGGCTTAATCATATAGCGAACTACGGCCATTTTATCCGGTTACCAGTCCATGTCGGGTATGGGACTATTTAGCCAGTTTTTTTAGTTTTCAGAAGCATGCGTCAACTTGGTGGAGGAAGCCGTAACCGACCAGCAGTTACATGAACCATCCTTCGACGGCAAGGAGTCTAGCAATTTTTCCACCTTCATTTGATAAAACAGCAAGATATCACGATAAAGAAATAAAAAGATAAGGGCATATTTCAATATATCATACCGTGAGTTGGAATGTGAACTATGATGAGAATCTCTATCTTTCGATCGACTTCGTGATTTGGATCTGCTTCTGCGCTTGTCTGGACTGGATTTAATAAAAAAAAGTAATTATGTTTATAATTTTAAAGGAAAAATGTTCTAGATAGCTAGATTTTGAAATGCGATTGTTAAAATTCAAAATGACAGAGAAATTGAAGTAATTTTGGCGTGGCATCCAATAAAAATCAACATTTCAGGTTAAAAACCTCCTTTATTTGTCCATTGAGACAAACAATTGCTAGTTGATGAATTGAGTGTCAACAGACCAAACTTTCCGATTGAATTTATTTTCAATTCAAGAACTAGTGATATATAAAATTTTTCTGTCTTGAAATGCTAATTAAATGAAGTGGAATATTGCAAATATATGTTACACCATGGAACAGAGTGTAATATATCTTCCAACTGCAATGTCACGACACCTTTTACAATAAAATAATGAAGCTTAATCACTGACTGTTCAATTTGAATCACAGTAGATTATTTGGGTTAGCAGGAAGAAAAAATGCAGTTTTTTATTACTGTAGGCCAATTTTACAGAACTAAGATACAGAAGTTGGCATACTTATGGAAGTCATTGGACCCATCTGCCATTACATGCAAATCCATATAAATATAAAACCATGACCATTTATCTAGTTAAAAGTTAGATTTTTTATCCAAGCAAAGAGAAGCTATCCTGTATAATTAATTGTTCATCAATTAACAATGATTTCATGTTTCCCATACACCGTATTTCCCGGCGAATAAGACTACCCGGTGAATAAGACGAGGCCCGTTTTTAAGCCTGAAAAAATGGCTTTTCGCATATAACCTGCCAATAAGACGAGTAGTAAAATCGCATCAACATCGGAATCTCAAATTATCATGCAGAGGCTTTTGAGCGGTCGCCGCCTTTGCGCATTGGTTAAAATATCTTATAATGACGTTTTCTTGTAGAATACGTAATATTCAATCCATAACAACTACGAGAATTCAAACTGTCTTTCAATTTCAATCTAATTGTGTTCAACCTAACTCGGGATTGCGTGCACCATATAAGCCCATTTATCGATCTAAAACAACACGGCAATGATGAAAACGTGGGGATGCTATCGCCAATGATATTTGGTATTTTATGGTACGAATTGAATAATGAGGCAACACCAAAAAAATTATCATACTCGCCTAATAAGACGACCCCCCAAAATCATGCCAAAAATTTGGGCCTAGATAAGCGACTTTTCGACGGGAAATACGGTACCTGGTTCTATCTGATTCTTTTGCATCCTGTTCTTCGTCAGATGCTTCCAAATCATATTTTGCTGCACTACCATCGTCTTCGTCCTATAAGATATCCGAAAAAATATTTTAAAGAAATATCTATTGGTTTTATTAATAATAGATCGACAAAAATAAAACGAGAATATCGGTCAGAGACCGAAGACTTATCGATTGAAAGTTAGGGGATTCCCCAAAACAACACTCTTACCCCATAGTGACACCTTGTGTCCCATCACTAATTAATTGATAACTCGCTAATTATACAACATAATTCGCCCAAAAGCAATAGACTTCTGGTACGAGATATGATGAATGCACATGCAAAATCTGCAGCAGATCCAATCTCGCTTTCGTGAGATATCGCGTGCATCTAACAGACAGACAAACAGACAAATACCTATCAACATACTTACCGATTAAAATCGAAAAGTAACCAAGATAAGTATTTGAACATTTTGAATCAGTTTTCAAATTATGCACAACGGTTGCTGTAGTTAATATCGATTAAAATGGCCAGGAGCCTCGGTGACCTGTAAAGGTCTTGCATACTGACCATCATGATTTAATGTTTAAATATCCACTGCACTGTATTTTCATAAAAATATGTACTATTCTCCTTTTTAACATTGTTTTGTGGAAATAAAATCTCTCTCTCTCTCTAATAGCAACAAGATTTGACAAATTAGGATTACATTATTATTGTGTTTAGGCATGATAGCCATCATAAATACATACTCCAAACCTTCAAAATATCAATATTACAATTTGCCACACAAACTAAAACAAGTCAACCTCTTCTTGTTGAAAACATAATATTCAAAAATCTCGAAAAATTAGCTTAAAATATAAATTTAAAATTTTATTTTGGGTTTTTCTTAAGTTGTTACCTCATCATCATCATCATCCGCATCTAAATCATATTTAGAAACATCCTCATCACTTCCACTCTCCTCCTCTTCATCTTCTTCTAAATCAGTCTTCGGCACTACACTACTAACACTTCTTGTAGTACCCCTGAATTTCTTCTTTTTTCTTCCGAATTCATCATATTCACCATCAGAATCCTGATATAAAACAGAAAAATTGATGAGGGAATTTATTCATTTCATCTTGTAACCATTGTGTAATAATAAGATAGAAGATAAATCCATTCCTTCCTTTATGACTTTGTTGTAGCAGCATGAATATTGACTAATTGAACAATTCTAAACATTTTGGGTAATAATCCTGAAATCATTACTATCCATTGATAAAATAGTATATATCTAAGTTACCAGAACACTGCACACAAGTTTTTTATTAAAGTAAAGTTTTTTTATAATACAGGTTTTTCACAATACAAGTTCGGCACCCGATAGGTTAGACTGCAGTGGTTCCCAAATATTTTATTATTGTACCCTTAAACCAAATTACCAAAAGCTCAATTACCCCTTTAACATAAAATTACATTAGTTATATCTTCATCACTTTTTCTTTGACCAAAAATGGCAATAACACTAACACCTATTGGATCTTCCAATTGGATTTTATGATGCTAAACTTGCACTAGGTCAGCATTTTAGTCTATAATCTATAAGGCAAAGTATTGCTTTAATGTCTCTCATTGACTAGAGCATTGCATGTCTAGCTTTTCAACAGCACAGGGATCACAGAAGAAATTGTTAAAACAGTGAACTTCTGGATTACCCCCTAAAAATTGCCGGATTACCCCCTAAAAATTGCCGAATCACCCCTTTGTGGGTAATTCCTTTCAGTTTGGGAACCACTGGTCTAAAGAAGATACAGAATAAATTTTGCTATCTTTGTCCGCAGTTCGTTAAAATAATTGCCCATCAAGCAGTCTGGTAAAAACAACTATATTTTTCAATGTTAAATTCTACCTCTTTTTCCTTGTATTCAACACCTGCTCTTTCATTAAATCCTCCACCGAATCCTGTTCTTTCTTCTTGTACATTGACTTTTGGAGTGTTACACATATTGCAATCACTTCGGCGAGCCCAATTAACGTTTCCACAACTGAAAAAATTTGTTTTATGTTAGATTTCACACCTTTGCTCCAAACAAAGTCAAATACAAACAAATAGCCACTGATACATGTGAGGTCACTATGTTTTTGAACAAAGAATATTTCAATTTGGCTCAGACCGCTCATCAATGATCTAGTTAAAAATAGCCAGAAATAGTATATAAGACAAGGTATTTGTAAAAAGAAAGACTGCAAATATCAAATGTGATAAATACATGCTCTATCAGATGTATAGACAAGCATCATTGGAATCAGGAAAAATTCTAACGCTGGTTGGGCAACAATCATAGATTGCGACACGATGTATGATCTTTACGATTTTTATTCATGCATTCTATACCTTAATCCAGTGTTTTTCAACCGGGGTGCCGCGGCACACCGGTGTGCCGTTAAATATTGTCAGGGGTGCGGTGGGAAATTTTCCAAGTTGTGTGTCTATGCGGTGTAGCGTCCGGCAGACCGCGTCCGGCAGAGTAATCGTGTGGTACTGTTCTATATCAGACCGTGGCAGCATCTGGTGGCGATTTTTTTCTGTCTTTGTTTTTATTTGATTACTATTCAAGATGTCCAATTCAAAATCTTTCTTCAATGTTAAAAATCTTATATTTACAATATAACACTTATATTGTGAATATTAGGTATTTTAGCCATATTTTCAGCTGGTGGTGTGCCGCGGGATTTTATCACTGAAAAAAGTGTGCCTTGGCTCGAAAAAGGTTGAAAAACACTGCCTTAATCTATACCTTACAAGTATGAGTTTTTGGGTTAGCTACAAAATTCCTATGAATGGAAATATTCTCAAATAATCTAGTTGATGGAAATGTTAACTGTTAATATATGTTAACAAATCTCACAAAATTCTCAAATTCTCAGGAAATTCTCAAAAACGAACAGAACTTTTCTGATGGGAAATATTTTGCAGATCAGAACACAATTCTGGGCTGATAATAGCTATGATAACCGAGAAGGCTGAAGTTTAAAGAATCGATTCAATTCAAGGTGGTTGAAAAAACAACCAGACATTTTAGAGTTTGAAGGAAACCACTAGCATGGAGCTGTTACTGGAAACTTGTTAAAATTTTGATGAGTATAAAATTAAAACAGCTTACAACACCACATTTAAAACATATAGTAATGTAAATACTAAATTCCTCATACGTTTTGCACATCCAATCTTCAGCACTGAACAAGCCATGACTTTTTTCCGCAGCTTGTTTGCCTATTTCAATTCCACCTTTTTTAATTTTTTTCACTTCATATTTTCTTTCAGCACTACAGCGATTGCACTGTGACCGGCGTGCAAAATTGATATTACTGCATCTAAATGCAAAATATCGTCCAAGTTTCATATAAATTAGGGCGGTGAAATTTTATACCACTGCTTTGGAGAGAAAGACTCGTAACATATTAGTTATTAACAAGATGAAACAATTGAGTAGTGTGAAAGTTTGGGTTGTAACATGAGTCCAAAATTGAAATTTTGCGGGGTACTGGTATAATAGGGCCTGTAACTTTCGAAGTAATAATATCGTATTCCAGTATTCTCAAGTATGGTAATGTCTTCAAAGCTGGAGAAGCTAAGTTTCTCTCAGCGTTATACCTTCAGAACTTGGAAATACAGAAATAACTGACAATGGCACGAAGATACTTATTTTAAGCAAACCAAATATTCTATAAAGTTATAGAATTCACAGGAAAATAATAACAATGATGGTGCATATTCTGATATTTCCAATGGTAGTTAACTTAAAATTAGTATACTCACTCAGGACAGGTCCAATCACCCTCATTAAACCGAGACCCTGATTTGACTCCACTCATTTTTCTATAACCAGTACCGGTAGGCTACTGACCTAGGTAAAGCTAGCGGCCACTTACAGCGGACAGTTACCAATTTTTCCAAATTTGAACCCGCCATGTTCCACGACAGTTGTCGCGAATTCACTTAATTGCACCTACATGGATGCAAAAAATTAGGCGATTCTCCCTTTTAGAAACTGACGACAGACCTGAAACATAATAAAAAACAAAAATGATTGAAACAACACATTTTTTCCTCGATAAAATGACTTATTGCTCAGAAACTCATTTCTCGACAAAATCTAAAATTTAACTGAGTTGCAGCGTAATTTATGCAAGAAATAATTTTTTCTCATCCAATTCATTAATACAGTGAATTTGATGAAGATATATAAAACATATATTAAATTTTAAAACAATTCCACTATGCGGAAAGTTAGGAAATACTCCCCAATTTAAGGAAAATTTTTAAGAAATTATCAATATAACTCAGTTAAAGCGTAATTTAGGCAGGAAATAATATTTTCTCATCCAATTCATTAATACAGTGTATTTGGTGGACAAATATAAAATACATATTGAAATTTAAAAAAAATCCACAGTGCGGAAAGTAGAAAAATTCCCCCCAGTTTAAGAAAAAATATAGAAAATCTCTAATTTAACTCAGTTAAAGCGTAATTTAGGTAAGAAGAAATTTTTTCTCATCCAATTCATTAATGCAATGTGTTTAGTGGACAAATATAAAATAGATATCAAAATTTTAAAAAAATCCACCGTGCGGAAAGTAGGGAAATTCCCCTCAATTCAATGAAAGTATTTAAGAAATCGTCTATCCAACTCAGTTAAAGCATAATTTCTGCAAGAAAGAATATTTTCTCATCCAATTCAATAATACAATGTATTTGGTGGACAGATATAAAATACATATTAAAATTTTAAAAAAATCCACCTTGCGCAAAGTAGGGAAATTCCCCCCAATTTGATGAAAATATTTGACAAATCGTCTATTTAACTCAGTTAAAGCGTAATTTATCCAAGAAAGAATATTTTCTCATCCAATTCATCAATACGGTGTATTTGGTGGACAAATATAAAATACATATTAAAATTTGAAAAAAATCCACCGTGCGGAAAGTAGGAAAATTCCCCTCAATTGAGGAAAAAATATAAGAAATTGTCAATTTGACTCAGTTAAAGCGTAATTTAGGTAAGAAGGAATTTTTTCTCATCCAATTCATTAATGCAGTGTGTTTGATGGACAAATATAAAATAGATATCAAAATTTGAAAAAAATCCACCGTGCGGAAAGTAGGGAAATTCCCCTCAATTTAATGAAAATATTTAAGAAATCGTCTATCCAACTCAGTTAAAGCATAATTTATGCAAGAAAAAATATTTTCTCATTCAATTCATTGATACAATGTATTTGGTGGACAGATATAAAATACATATTAAAATTTAAAAAAAATCCACCGTGCGGAAAGTAGGGAAATTTCCCCCAATTTAATGGAAATATTAAGGAAATCGTCTATCTAACTCAGTTAAAAAATAATTTATGCAAGAAAGAATATTTTCTCATCCAATTCATTTATACAGTGTATTTGGTGGACGAATATAAAATACATATTAAAATTTGAAAAAAATCCACCGTGCGGAAAGTAGGGAAATTCCCCCCAATTTAATGAAAATATTTAAGAAATCGTCTATCCAACTCAGTTAAAAAATAATTTATGCAAGAAAGAATATTTTCTCATCCAATTCATTAATACAGTGTATTTGGTGGACAAATATAAAATACATATCAAAATTTAAAAAAAATCCACCGTGCGGAAAGTAGGGAAATTCCCCTCAATTGAAGAAAAAAATATAAGAAAACGTCAATTTAACTCAATTAAAGCGTAATTTAGTTAAGAAGGAATTTTTCTCATCCAATTTATTAATGCAGTGTGTTTGGTGGACACATATAAAATACATATTAAAATTTAAAAAAAATCCACCGTGCGGAAAGTAGGGAATTCCCCCTCAATTAAAAATTAATATAAGAAATCGTCAATTTGACTCAGTTAAAGCGTAATTTAGGTAAGAAGGAATTTTTTCTCATCCAATTCATTAATGCAGTGTGTTTGGTGGACAAATATAAAATACATATTAAAAGTTAAAAAAAAATCCACCATGCGGAAAGTAGGGAAATTCGGTACTCTCGAAATATGGACACAAAGATGACGCACAACCTGAATATAAAAGGTGTACCAGGATAGGTTCAGATTTAGAATCTAGATTGTACGCTTTTGGGAGCGCAGGGAATAACCCATTTATGCAAAAAATAATTTTTTCTCATCCAATTTATTAATACAGTGTATTTGATGGATATATATGAAATATATATTAAAATTTAAAAAAAATCCACCGTGCGGAAAGTAGGGAAATTCCCCTCAATTGAAGAAAAAAATATAAGAAATGGTCAATTTAACTCAGTTAATTCCCTACTTTCCGCACCGTGGATTTTTTTTAAATTTTAATATGTATTTTATATTTGTCCACCAAATACACCGTATTAATGAATTGGATGAGAAAATATTCTTTCTTGGATAAATTACGCTTTAACTGAGTTAAATAGATGATTTTTCAAATATTTTCATCAAATTGGGGGGAATTTCCCTACTTTCCGCACGGTGGATTTTTTTTAAATTTTGATATCTATTTTATATTTGTCCACCAAATACACCGTATTAATGAATTGGATGAGAAAATATTCTTTCTTGGATAAATTACGCTTTAACTGAGTTAAATAGACGATTTCTCAAATATTTTCATCAAATTGGGGGGAATTTCCCTACTTTCCGCACGGTGGATTTTTTTAAAATTTCGATATCTATTTTATATTTGTCCACCAAACACACTGCATTAATGAATTGGATGAGAAAAAATTCCTTCTTACCTAAATTACGCTTTAACTGAGTCAAATTGATAATTTCTTATATTTTTTTCTTCAATTGAGGGGAATTTCCCTACTTTCCGCACGGTGGATTTTTTTTAAATTTTGATATGTATTTTATATTTGTCCACCAAATACACCGTATTAATGAATTGGATGAGAAAAAATTATTTTTTGCATAAATGGGTTATTCCCTGCGCTCCCAAAAGCGTACAATCTAGATTCTAAATCTGAACCTATCCTGGTACACCTTTTATATTCAGGTTGTGCGTCATCTTTGTGTCCATATTTCGAGAGTACCGAATTTCCCTACTTTACGCATGGTGGATTTTTTTCAAATTTTAATATGTATTTTATACTTGTCCACCGAACACACTGCATTAATGAATTGGATGAGAAAAAATTCCTTCTTACCTAAATTACGCTTTAATTAACTGAGTCAAATTGACGATTTCTTATATATATTTTTTAATTGAGGGGGAATTCCCTACTTTCCGCACGGTGGATTTTTTTCAAATTTTAATATGTATTTTATACTTGTCCACCGAACACACTGCATTAATGAATTGGATGAGAAAAAATTCCTTCTTACCTAAATTACGCTTTAATTGAGTTAAATTGACGATTTCTTATATTTTTTCTTCAATTGAGGGGAATTTCCCTACTTTCCGCACGGTGGATTTTTTTTTAAATTTTAATATGTATTTTATATTTGTCCACCAAATACACTGTATTAATGAAATGGATGAGAAAATATTCTTTCTTGCATAAATTATTTTTTAACTGAGTTGGATAGACGATTTCTCAAATATTTTCATTAAATTGAGGGGAATTTCCCTACTTTCCGCGCGGTGGATTTTTTTTTAAATTTTAATATGTATTTTATATTTGTCCACCAAATACACCGTATTAATGAATTGGATGAGAAAATATTCTTTCTTAAATAAATTACGCTTTAACTGAGTTAAATAGACGATTTCTCAAATATTTTCATCGAATTGGGGGGAATTTCCCTACTTTCAGCACGGTGAATTTTTTTTAAATTTCAATATGTATTTTATATTCGTCAACCAAATGCACTGTATCAATGAATTGGTTGAGAAAATATTCTTTCTTGCATAAATTATTTTTTAACTGAGTTGGATAGACGATTTCTTAAATATTTCCATTAAATTGAGGGGAATTTCCCTACTTTCTGCACGGTGGATTTTTTTTAAATTTCGATATCTCTTTTATATTTGTCCACCAAATACACTGCATTAATGAATTGGATGAGAAAAATTCCTTCTTCCCTAAATTACGCTTTAACTGAGTCAAATTGACAATTTCTTATATTTTTTCCTTCAATTGAGGGGAATTTCCCTATTTTCCGCACGGTGGATTTTTTTTAAATTTTAATATGTATTTTATATTTGTCCACCAAATACACCGTATTAATGAATTGGATGAGAAAATATTCTTTCTTGGATAAATTACTCTTTAACTGAGTTAAATAGACGATTTTTCAAATATTTTCATCAAATTGGGGGGAATTTCCCTACTTTCCGCACGGTGGATTTTTTTAAAATTTCAATATGTATTTTATATACGTCCACCAAATACACTGTATCAATGAATTGGATGAGAAAATATTCTTTCCTGCATAAATTATTTTTTAACTGAGTTGGATAGACGATTTCTAAAATATTTCCAATAAATTGAGGGGAATTTCCCTACTTTCCGCACGGTGGATTTTTTTTAAATTTTAATATGTATTTTATATTTGTCCACCAAATACGTTGTATTAATGAATTGGATGAGAAAATATTCTTTCTTGCATAAATTATGCTTTAACTGAGTTGGATAGACGATTTTTCAAATATTTCCATCAAATTGGGGGGAACTTCCCTACTTTCCGCGCGGTGGATTTTTTTTAATTCTAATATATATTTTATATATATCCATCAAATACACTGTATTAATAAATTGGATGAGAAAAAATTATTTTTTGCATAAATGGGTTATTCCCTCGCTCCCAAAAGCGTACAATCTAGATTCTAAATCTGAACCTATCCTGGAACACCTTTTATATTCAGGTTTTGCGTCATCTTTGTGTCCATATTTCGAGAGTACCGAATTTCCCTACTTTCCGCATGTTTTTTTTTTTTTAACTTTTAATATGTATTTTATATTTGTCCACCAAACACACTGCATTAATGAACTGGATGAGAAAAAATTCCTTCTTACCTAAATTACGCTTTAACTGAGTCAAATTGACGATTTCTTATATATATTTTTTAATTGAGGGGGAATTCCCTACTTTCCGCACGTTGGATTTTTTTTAAATTTTAATATGTATTTTATATTTGTCCACCAAATACACTGTATTAATGAATTTGATGAGAAAATATTATTTCCTGCATAAATTACGCTTTAACTGAGGTATATTGACAATTTCTTAAAAATTTTCCTTTAATTGGGGGGTATTTCCCAACTTTCCGCATAGTGGAATTGTTTTAAAATTTAATATATGTTTTATATATCTTCATCAAATTCACTGTATTAATGAATTGGATGAGAAAAAATTATTTCTTGCATAAATTACGCTTCAACTCAGTTAAATTTTAGATTTTGTCGATAAATGAGCTTATGAGCAATAATTCATTTTATCGAGGAAAAATGTGTTGTTTCAATCATTTTTGGTTTCAGGTCTGTCGTCAGTTTCTAAAAGGGAGAATCGCCTAATTTTTTGCATCCATGTAGCCGCAATTAAGTGAATTCGCGACAACTGTCGTGGAACATGGCGGGTTCAAATTTGGAAAAATTGGTAACTGTCCGCTGTAAGTGGCCGCTAGCTTTACCTAGGTGGCTACTGCAGTAGGAATCTTTTAGCTTCAAATCTATAATCCACAAAAATTGAAAAAATAACCCAGATCACACCAAGTAATTACCAAGTTATGCATATTCAGATATTGTTTAACCAGTAATTAGTCCTGAATTTTTTTTTTCAAATTAATCTTAAATTACCACAGAATTAAATATGTCGTACGTTATTTCAGTATCATAAGTCATGTCATGTTGAATGGTCAGATAGTAGAGGATAGGACAGTAGGGAGCGGTGGATAGACGCCATTATCCAGTTTTCAGATTACCGTACATGAACCATCTGCCACTGCCAGTCTGCCAAGAGCTTCAACAACCCTACCGGCTAGCGGGGGTACCGGTACCGGTACCGGTACCAATTCAACCACCACTAGGCTACATTCATTCAAACACCACTACAACGGGGTCGCAGTGACAGACGCCATCTTCTACTAACTGAAAACAGTGCAATATAGAGCAAATGGCTAAACAGTGAAATATGGTCAAACAGAAGACAGCAGCGCGGTCGGTACCGGGACCAATTTTTTTTTTTTTGCAAAACTGTTTCGCGCTGCTGTCTTCTGTTTGACCATATTTCACTGTTTAGCCATTTGCTCTATATTGCACTGTTTTCAGTTAGTAGAAGATGGCGTCTGTCACTGCGAACCCGTTGTAGTGGTGTTTGAATGAATGTAGCCTAGTGGTGGTTGAATTCGCCGCGGCGGTGTGGCTCAACGGGCTAAGCGTTAGGAATACGCTCGCCACCGCACCTCTAATTACTCTGCGTGGGTTCGCAGGTTCGAATCCCATGTAGGGATGGTTATGTGCGAGAGGATTGCTGGACTCCTCGCCGTCGTTGGGTGGTTCACGTAACCGCTGGTCGGTTACGGCTTCCTCCACCACCAAGTCCATGCTTCCGAAAACAAACAATACAGTATAAACTAATCCCATACCCGACTTGGAATGGTAACCGGACGAGAGGCCGTGGTTCGCCATATGGATAAGCTGTCTTATCGGCTTTCCTCTCCCCCGGGATAAATATGTAAATCCTATCCTATCCTATCCTGGTACGGTACCGGTACCGCACAAGAAAACAACGCAATGGACCTTTTCCGACATTTGACCCCTGAAAAATTTTTCTTATACTTTACCGTTGCCAAATTTTAGGGGCTACCGGTATTTTAAGCTACAAGGGTGGTGACTCCTCTACGGCCCATGGGCCGTGGCCCATCAAGCTATTGGCCGCGGTCCATTCAGGAAAAATACAATTATCTTTCCAGAACTTTCAATTTTTACAAAATTGTCAATATTCAAATAAACAAAATCGTGGTATGCCACCATTTTTTTACGATAAGCATATATAGAGGACTTGCACGGGTCACATGACTTTGTTTACTGGACGGCAACCAAACAAAAACGTCCATTTGGCTCCTGTCAGTTGTAAGTCGGATTATACGTTTCCGTTTTGTTTGGCTGTTGAAAATGGGTATTTCGTATTGTTCCGTTGGCTGTACGTGTAGTACAGGTACGAAATGGATCTTCAGTTATATTCCACTGTTTTCAAAAGATCCGGAACGTCGCGCAATGTGGATATCATCTATTGGCAGGATTGCTTGGTGTCAACGTATAATCCGACTTGCAACTGACAGGAGCCAAATGGACGTTTTTGTTTTTTGCCGTTCAGTAAACAAAGTCACGTGACCGGTGCAAGTCCTCTATATATAAAAAAATAAAGCAAAATACCAAGCTACAGAAAAGGATACTCCTGTAGTATGTGTACCAAAATTTATTATGATTTTTTACATTATAGTTCTCTTATGAATTCGGGGACTGTCTGTGTTAGCGGTATGTTAGTCGTTGGTGTTAGCCAAGTGAATAGTTCCATACACAACTTGATGGGTCGCGGCCCATAGCCTGATGGGCCGAGGCCCAATTCGATGGCCCGTGGCCCAGGTCCATGGATCGTAGAGGAGTCACCTCTTTCACTCATTTTAAGAGTGCTTTTGCGAGTTGGCGCCTGTGAAATGGGGTATGTGTTTCAAATTATCATTATGATTCACCGTATACAACAATCTATTTTTTAAAAGTACGGTACCGGTAAAGAATTTTAGCTTAGTCTATCCACAGCTATTTCTTGTTACACTAATTTTTTATTACTGCAATTAAACTAAAACTCCTAGGAAGACAGGGTGAGAGGTCTTTACGGTAAAATTCGATTTATTCACATTCAAGTGCTTGAAATTTTTACAGTGATTTTGAACAGCATTTGTTCATTCACAAATGAACGTCAAAGCATGCTTTTACTTTTAAGTACAACCAACGACTATGGGCGAATGGAAGATACAAAAGACTCGTGAGGAGCAGAACAGAACTCCAAAATTCGAGCCCATTCGAATGATCGGTAAAATGGCGAAAAATACATATATGTCTACCCATTTTCATTTTGTTCATCAACCCAGCTCTATTCCGGACAACTGGATCGGTGCCTCAGCCCAATTATTCTTGCAGCAACGTACACATGTACCCGCGAATTGCACCCATGAACATTTGCATCCACGAATATTCGTATCTCGAACAAATTTTCATTATTTGAAAAAGTGGTTACCTTACGTTAGTTTTGAGGACGTTTTATACCAGTTTCTAAATTAAACAAGGCTTTAGTAGTAGTTTGCCCTAGTGATAGACATCCCAATGTTATAACTAGAAATGAATACGAAAAATTGAAAAAACCTGCGCGCAATTAATTTGGGTTTCTATCTATCCTATCTCAAGCGAGACCCGTTAACAGGTGAAAAATGTCTCGCGGTGTCGCACTATAGCGGAGTGGGAGTGGTGACCGCTCTGCGGCCCATGGGCCGGGGCCACGGCCCATCAAGTTGTGTAAAGAAACTATTCACTTGGCTAACACAGACAGTCCCCGAACTCATAATAGAACTATAATGTAAAAAATCTGAATTTTTTTTGTCCTAACCCTAACCTGGTACACATACTACAGGAGTATATTTTTTTGGTTCGAATATTGACAATTTGGTAAAAATTGAAAATTTTGTTAAGATAATTGAATTTTTCCTGATGGGGCCGCGGCCCATCAAGCTATAGGCCACGGCCCATGTGGCCCAATTAGATGGGCCGTGGCCCCGGCCCATGGGCCGTAGAGGAGTCACCACTCCTGTAGGAGTGGGAGTGGTGACTCCTCTGCGGCCCATGGGCCGGGGCACGGCCCATCGAATTGGGCCTCGGCCCATCAGGCTATAGGCCGCGGCCCATCAAGTTGTGTAGAGAAACTATTCACTTGGCTAACCAATGACATTAAACAACATGATGCGCAACTCCGGCATTTTTGGCCGAAGATCGTATTCGATAGCACGCTCCAATGCACATACTTGACGAGACGAAAACGAGCGGATGTGTGTTGCTTTCAAGGCATAGCACGAATGGTGTTCGAGCCTGCTTCGACAATTGTTGTGGTTTTTAATGATATGTAGAAAATTGAAGGTAAAAAGAAATCGGAAAAAAGTAAGGTAAATACTATTGTTGTATATCACACCCGGGCATCGCACTGTTAAGTACATGCGGGAAAGCCAGCTTTTGTCAAATACTACGAAGTTTATAATTCAGTACGGTACGTAGTTGGCCATCTGCCGAAATTGCATATTTACTTACCCCTTATGGTTTCAAATAGTTCATGCACCTCCATTTAGATTTTTTTAATCAGTGAGGATATATACTTATTGCTGTAACATACTATTGCTCATTCACTTTTATTTGCGTATTGAATCAACGGGTTAACAAGTTCACCCATACCGGTCTATATTGTATAGTCTGATCTCTCAAGTATTTGGAGCCACGAATGCTTATAATTTTCTGACTAAACCCCTTTATTAGTTGGTTTATATACCAAATTCAGTAAAACATTTTTTACAAAAAACATAAGATATTGGGTTTATTAGCTTTTCCATTCTGAATCATATAGACTGCTTTATTTATTCTTAACGAAAATTAATACATCTCCTCTCCTACAGATGTGAAAGTTGTGGACAGACCTGTCTAAGCATTGTGAGACTCCTGCAGCACAAGAGGCAATAGCAATAATAGTGAGTATATCAATCAAGAAATTAGGCCGACATAAAACAAAACTTTCAACTATTCGTCTAACCTCAATTTCCTATTATTTATTCACAGGACAACTGTAGCTGAAGGGGAGATATCAGAAGTCTGGCGACATATCAGTGACAGTTTGATTCCAAGAAATATGATTAGAATACTCCATAAATGTTTGCAATAGAAGAACAACCTATGGAGGAATGCAAAGACATTTGACCCTCCGGTAAAGTTGTGTATGGCCCCTACATCCTGCAGGGCTTGAGGGAAATAACTAAAAATTCCAAAGCGTAAGATTGCATAAGCGGTTTTCTTTATAAAAAGGCACAAAACATGCCAGACATACTTAAAACAGCTTTGAAAAATGAGGATTACGGTTCACTGACTACACCTGTGTTATATTTGGTTCATCAAATTTTGGTAGTACTATAGAAGAAATTCAGGAAAGGGTATAATCATGATTCATGATAAAATAATGTTATATATTTTAGACAACTTCAATCTAGACCAGGGATGTCAAACTCGCGGCCCCAGAGAACTTCCAGTGCGGCCCTCGAACGCTTAACAATAATTGTAATAGTATTTTGGAATTTTTTTTTATTTAAATGTAAAAGATTTTTCAAACCTTTTAAAGTGAAATTGAATATTCACACAGAAAACAATTTACAGAAAGTAGTTTTAGAAAGTTAATTTTTTTTTGTTCACATTTTGACTCAATTAAGAATACACATCAAGCTAGCAAAAGAATACTGAATAAAACACTTGAGTGATTAAATTAAAGTACACGAAGAAGGTGGCATTTTCGAAGAAAATGGGAGTTGCAATATTTCTGCATTTTACAAAATTCTGAAGCACATTGTTAAATTTGTCATATTTCCATCAGTACAATGAAAAAACACAATAAGCTCAGCAGTCAATATGACAAATTCGAAGACCAACTCCGAACAGAAAATTTCCATGTGTTTGTATATTAATATAAATATACAACGACTTAGTTACTAAAAATCAATATCAATAATAATTCAAGCAATCCTATGCCATGCAATGTAGCGTGAAATGTCTTGTCGAAAAAATCTGTCATTTTTATTTTTACTGATCTATACATGAAATGATAAATGTAACTTTTTTGCATTACTGGAATTAATTAAACTTTTGCAAAGATACAGATTAACCCATGATCATGTGACCTCGTTAGTTAGAGTTGGTACTATAAAATCATTTCAGCCTGGCCTTAGTATGCTGGTGACACAAAGAAGATGCCAAACGTCAGGACAAATGTAATTAAAAAACATTGAGTTTATACTGTAGTATTTTTGTTAATTTTAGGTTCATATATTTAGATTAAGTCATTTTTAGTGTATATTTTATTCTTTCCTTAACCAAGGCTTGTTCAAAAATGATTTTGATGGTTGTACATGGAATTTTATGATTTTTTGTAATAAATACAGTAACTTGCAATAATAGTGGAATGCAAATATTAATATGTAATTGCATTTGAAATTAAAGAAAATAATAAAACTTAATCCAACTGATTAGTTGCATCACAATATATGTCACAAACTAAAACTATCTAAAAAATATCTCTCGAGTATACATTATCAAAAACTGTTTGCGGCCCTTTTTACAATTTCCAACATGCAATGCGGCTCTCGAAACCCATGAGTTTGACACCACTGATCTATTCTAGACGATTCAAGCATTCCTTTGGGAAATAATATCACTTCAATTAAATTGGAAAAAAAATCTCGCAATATTAAATACAAAACCGTTGCTATCATAAAGGTAAACCAATTCAGCCACTCGGAATATATTGGCCTTCACAAAGCAATGGAGGCAGAATTGAGAGTTCATGAGCTATGAACTTTTGTTCTTTTCTTTGTCTTGAACTTTTCATACTCCACAGCCTCTATTAATTTTTTTTTTTAATTTTAATTACCATGTGATGGTCATACATACTGTATCTTTGTATTTTCTGTCATGATGTATTATCTCAATGTGTCAAACTTTTAATTAGTGTGTATATTTTGCTTTCAGATGACATGAATGTATTGTCTTGCTTATTACCTCAGCTTGGAGTATTGACAAGAAAAAAGTGCCCGTAAATTACGTAAAAAATGTTTTTAACTCTTTGATATAATCAGAATTCACATTTAATAGGAATTATAAACAGCCAACAATCAATGAGAATTATATGCAAAATTCCTCAGATTGAATTTGTCTTCTAAAATCGGAGGAAGGCAAAACATATAGGTAGTCTCCATTCACACAAGTCTTTCAAGAAGACTTGCTCGAGACAAACTAAATGAGCATCGTCAGGTGATTGGTAAGGCTGCAAGTTGAATCAGGCCTGCAATCTCCTGCATAGAACATAATATTAATTAGCGGGCTATGAGCTAAATTCCTAAATTTAGACACAAACCTATCTACGAGGCATTATGTACCAGTAATGTTACCTACGATTAACTGAATATGTAATATGTCTAATAAATTCACCTACTAAAACAAGTTCGATAGGTGCAAACTTTGTGTTATGGAATTGTATCACAGCACCTTTAAGAGAAGTAAAAACAGTTTTGCTGTTTTGTATGACACCCTCTTTAAATGAAATTTCAATGTTTAAGCGCAAACATTAAAATTACTAACTTTGAACTTTGTCATTATCTGCAAAATGTTTCACACAAATCTTTACGCTATCGCGTTTGTAATATTCTCTGATAAAAAAAACGTCTATGATGTTCAGAATTACTCTTTACAACTTGTCTGCCATTCCAGCTTTCCAAATGAGCAAAACTTCTCAGATATAGAGATTATTTTCTTTCGTTACAGGCGCAAAAAGGCAGGTACTACACGTAAAGAAGACGCCGAGTAGCAAAAGCAAGCGGAAAACCGTCGCGAAAGGCGACGAGAAATATGTGCATTGGAGCGTATCATGAAATACAATCTTTCGCATGTAGTCTTATGGAGTGACGTCAGAGTTGCCTATCATGTTGTTTAATGTCATTGGGCTAACACAGACAGTCCCCGAACTCATAATACAGTAATAGAACTATAATGTAAAAATCTGAATTTTTTTTGTCCTAACCCTAACCTGGTACACATACTACAGGAGTATATTTTTTTGGTTTGAATATTGACAATTTGGTAAAAATTGAAAATTTTATTAAGATAATTGAATTTTTCCTGATGGGGTCGCGGCCCATCAAGCTATTGGCCACGGCCCATCAAGCTATTGGCCACGGCCCATGTGGCCCAATTAGATGGGCCGTGGCCCCGGCCCATGGGCCGTAGAGGAGTTACCACTCCTGTATAGTACAGAAGGGCAGGCTATAATATGTCTGGGAGCTAGCTAAATGTGGTGGTCGGCGCGTGTAAATAGATGAATGCAGGCATTTGTTAGCCATCAGTTCTATTTACAGATTTATGAATTGTGGATATTTTGATTACGTTTTTGATTTTATTGAAATACTGTAAGTATTATTAAATTGTATAATACTAGATTATAAAATACTTGCGTTTTATAAGACTTGAGTTACTTATTACATTCCAATCTTCTGATCTTACTACTGTACCGTACTAGGAAATATTGAGATCTTTAGTTGCAATGAATGAATGACCAGGCATATAGCCGTACCGCCGGTACCGGTACTTTGGCTACAAAGAAATTCTGTTATTGGACACGCCAGCGGACATAACGATCGTTTCAATATTATGTTGTTGTTCTTGATTTTCTTCGTCATGATAAAATTGCTTTTCTTTTCGAATACTGGACCAATTGCTTCAAAATTTTCAGTGGTGAAAGATTGATTTTTTCACCAGAAGGCTATTACTTTTACTTATTTCAAAAATTTCTGTGGACTTCGAGAGATTCCTTTAGTTAACAACTAAAAACAACAATCACATAGAGCTGGAGACTCAATATTTAAAAATAAAATCACCTGAACTAATTTTGTTAAAGAATTTGAAATACTCAGAATTCAGAAATTGTATTTACGGTAAGTCAGTAAGTAGTAAATTTAATATCTTCCTCCACCATCAGGTCCGTGTGCCGGATTCGAAGTGTCTCATTGGGCCCACCCACTTGTGTCTGCTTAACTTACGACTACAGGTTTTATGGATATCGATTTCTGTTGAAAATATCGATGAAAATGATGAATTGTTTACTAAAATAAATGCCATAATTAAATATATTATATAAAACGAACCAGATTCTCACCTAACTCAAGAATTTATATTCATGCTTCCGAATTATTGTTCTGAAGTATGCAGATTAACAAAAGCAAAAACAAATCTCCCTTATTAACATATTCAATCCTAAGGAATAAGTATAAAAAAGCTTTCGGACGACTGCAGTAGGCTACATCAGCCTCATTAATCATTGTGCCACTTGGTGCAATAGATGTTCTTGTGCATTAGCTGTTAAACTAGTTTTTTTTTCTAAATAAACTGTTTTATTCATAGTTTCGTATTGATTTTTCAGCCCAGTAAGAAAGTCTATTTTCTGGAACCATCCCACTCAGGAAAGTAATTCCCCACCAGTGTTCCCTCTAAGGTGTGCGCGCGCACACAGCTTACAGAGGCTGCGCACCCGCATAGATTTACTGCGCACAGACGTATTTCGATGTAATGTAACAATGTGCTCGATTCGCAGGTTGAGAAAGTTTGTTGTTGGCCCACTTATTACCCGGTTAGAACGCCAAAATTTCTTCATTGGTTTTTGCACAAATATTAGTCATTTCCAAAAAAGTGTGCACACACCAAAGTTTCTGCGCACACACACGACAAAAAATTAGAGGGAACATTGTTCCCCATCCTTGCTCTATCAGCATATTAAGTTTCAGCTCGTTGTTTTCCCCTCTAGGAATAGTTAACCAGTTCTTCTTAATGGTAGAGTAAGCCATAACGGACCAAGACCAACGGTTATGTATATGGATCTAAGGCGCCATGGAGTCCAATAATCCTCATGCACATAACCTGTGGTTGTGAACCCACATAGAATAATCTGAGTTGCGATGAACTGATACTAATGCAAAGCTCAATGCCAACTGCCAATGGAACTTTAATGAACAATATTTCAAGTTTTGTCCTATTTTCTTGAGTTTTCTCTTTTATTTTGATCTTATATGTGAGTATGTGAAATGCAGGTCAACATTATAAATAACTGGACAGTTCTGCGTGTTGGTTAAAAATTTTATTGCATAATACTGCAATTCCATATTCATATATAGAAAAATTCTTTTCTCAAATTAGTAGTTTCTTACATATCAGTTTCTTCTCGTCTAGAGCCTTGTTCACAATAAAAGTGTGAACCACTTGATAAAACAAAAAAATAAGATGTTGAGTAAAATATACATCATGTTTGTTTACATTCAAAGGGCTTATTCTTGATAGTTTCTATGATGTATGATCTATGTAATGTACCTCAGTCTATTCAAAATCTACTATTGGCGGTCGAAAATGGTGACACACACAAAGTTCAATCAATTTTGGATCAAGATATTTCAGTTGAAACCACTGATGCAGATGGGAATAGTTTGTTACAAATAGCAGCTGCAAATGGTCATGAAAACATAGTCAGACTTCTTTTAATTAGAGGTGCTGCACTTGATAGAAAAAATCTATACGGTTGGACACCTTTAATGCAAGCAGCACGATATGGCCATGAAAGTGTGGTATTACATTTGCTAAACAGCAAAACGGATATTAATACAACAACAATGATGGGAATTTCAGCCTTGACTTTAGCGGTGAAGGGGGGTCATAACAAGGTTGTGGAGATTTTACTTGAAAATCACTTCACTGTTGACTGTGTTGAAAATACTCTCCATTTTGCTACTCCTCTCATGGTGGCAACATTGGGTGGCAGGGATGATTTGCTTCGTACCTTATTGCGATGGGGAGTGCCAGCTGACCAAAGGCATATTGCTACAGGTTGGACTGCTCTGATGGTGACTGCGATGACTGGACAACTACCCATGGCTCGTTTATTGGTTGATAAAGGCTGCGATCCAAATCGTAAAAACCGGCATGAAAAAACAGCCCTTGCAATTGCCACAGAATGTGAACTACGTGAGATTAGGGGATATCTAGATAGAAAAACGACAGATAAACCTGAAAAAGTTGATGATCAAGGTATCAAAATCATAGCTGCTGTTAAAAAAGGTGATTATGAAAAAGTCAAAGAAATTTTAATCAACCACAAAGATGAATGTAATGCAACAACAACTGATGGTGCCACACCACTCATGTATGCAGCTATTACTGGACAAACTGAAATGATTAAATTGCTCGTTGAAAATGGAGCAGACGTTAATGCCAAAGATTATGAAAATGGTTGGACAGCTTTAATGCAAGCAACTTACTACAGTAAAGTTGAGGCTGCCAAGTGCTTAATTGGATTGAATGCAGATGTGGGATGTAGAGCCAAAAATAATATAACTGCCTTTGATATGGCACTCTTAATCAATGCACCTACAAGTCTCTTCAGATTACTCGCGGAACATGCTATGCAGACAAGTAATTCATCCGCTGCAAATGGTAAAACAATAGTAGAAGGAGATGTCGTACCGAGCAAATTAACAAACACTACTATGGCCTGGGCAAACACTGTACCTTGTGAAATACAAGCTACTGATGATAGACAGAAGGAAGCACCTGGCCAAGGCACACAGAAGAAAAGCATGTGGTCTAAGTTAGGCAAGCCATTTAAAAATATTAAACTGACTCGTACTTTTCGTAGTACATTCAAGAATCCCAATAAAGTGGATAATTTTGAAAGTACGTTAATAGCATCTGGTGATGACGCATGTGATCAAAAAGATGGTTCACATGGCAACAGTGTAACTATAGCGGATCCTTATAGCATGACAAATCACAGTGCACCGAAGTCGAGATTGCCTGAAGAGAAATTGGCTCTTATTCAGCCTCCTTTTCAGTCAACAGCGGGAGTTGATCGACACAACACCAATTCACAAAAAAAGACACTAGGTTCGAGAACATCAATGTCGGCAAGTTTAAATAGTAGTGGTGAAAGCTCTGTCAGTCGTAGTGTTGTTAAACCTGTCAAGTTCTTGCAAAGCCCAGGAAATTCAGGTTGTTCAAACACTGGCAGTAGTCCACATTCTTCTGGTGGTGCGAGTGATGTCACGCATAGCTTCTCATTGCCTAAACATGGAAATAATCCGCACAAACAATCCGGTGATCGATATTCTGACACTGTTCTTTCAAAGATGGCCCAAATGAAACAAAGGAAAGATACTTCTTCGAATTCAAGTGGTGGGAGAATAAGGGGATCCATATCTGCGGAACAACTATCAGTCCAACCCCACCAAAAGACACATGGTCACAGACGCATGGGAAGTAGAGTATCCATTGTGTCATCCCAGAGTACAAGCTCAACTTTGACTCCTCCAAGAAGTCCAGAACCTCAGACTCACTCGGATAAAATGCGATCTAGGTACTCTGGATCTGGAAGTCGTGGAATGTCATCTCCTGATTCTGCTCATAGTCATAAAAAGAAGAGACGTGCGAGGCCCGTATCAAGACCAACTTCATTCAATGAAGATGATGAACTATCTGTTATCCTCCAGAAACTTTCTCTTGAAAATTACCACCCAATTTTTGAAAAAGAGGAAATTGACATGGATACATTTCTTACAATGACAAATGGTGATTTAAGGTCTCTTGGAATAACACAAGAATTCCCAAGACAGCAACTTCTGAAAGCAATTAACCATTTAAGCGAAGGAAAGGAGAACTATAAAAAACCGGGAGGTATTCCTACATATTCATATAGTATTACTAGTGATTCAGAACGAAATTCAAGTAAGAAATCGAGTAGTTCAACACAGTTTGAACCTCCGTCGTGGAGCTATTACTCTAATGTTAAGCCTCGTTCAGGATCATAATTTGAAAAATATTAATAAGGTTTTTCATATCAATATTGGCTTGCATTCAATTTTGACTTTGGTATGTTCTTTTGGACTAATGTATACACAATTTTGATTTATATATTTGAGCTTCCTATATGTATATGTTCCACAATGATGCCATATTTTTAGTATAGAAAATTTACAATTGTGATACTTTTTTTTCTGTTTTCATATCCTCTACAGTCCTGATAAAAGTTTCATAGGTTAAACAACCCTGCTTTTTTATAGTTGAAGTTATGTTTTCTTTCAGAAGCATCATATGTTGAATGATTATTTACTTAACCATTGAATGGAATTCAAAACCTCTTTTAACATCACTGATTCACAAAACTCTTTGTTGCTTCTTTTATATTGCCTTCATTGTGAAGTATTACTTTGTTTGTATTAAAAATGACTTTGATTGTGCACTTTTGTGGATTTAAAAAGTTTGAGCTATAATTTTGGATTTTAAAATATACTGGTACTATGTATCAGAAGTCTTGTGTTGCTGATTATGATCTAACAATTATCTCTTAATTAATTTCATTATGACTAAATATCTTCTGTTTTTTATACCAAATGTGCCATATTCTCTGTTTGCCAATGCTTATTGTTATTCAGAATCATGTTTTGTTTAATTATTGGTTGAAATGAGGATTATGTGAACTTTCCAATTATTGTCACCTTATAGAATTAATTTTGAAAAATAATCATAGTAATTTTACCATTAGTGTAACAAATTGTATTTTTTACCGGAGCAAAAGTCAAGTATGTGACTACCGGTACATACTTGATACATTCCGGGTGCTAAATATATACTGTTTCATAAGTTTTTTTGATTTACCGGGTGCTAATCATGGATGCAATAGAAAATATAATACCTATATCTTTCCTTATTGAGGAGTATAATATAGTTTCCATTATATTGATAGGCAATTTTTGTTGGTGATTTTGATAATCTATTCCTGACTCAATTTATCAATACTTATGGTATTTTATATGCTTCATTGAATAGGAATAAATAATTATTTCATGTTTATAAATTATAACACATAATATATTTTTGGTGAATCAAATTGAGATTTAAAATGATTTTTATGTCATTGTCTTTATATCTCCGCTTTGTCTGACCTATTGTTTTCTGAAATACTAGTAGAAGCAAGAAGATTTATCTCCTTACAACTCGTTGAATGTTAGCCATCTTACATTGAATATAGCCGATCTACCTAAAACATATTTTTGCATCTGAATTTTAACATTTTGTATTTGTCTTGCCTGTCTGTTTTCTGTTTCGTTCTGTACTATTGCTTTATGAGTTATCACATATTGTATTTTATATTATTCAAATCACATTTGCATTCTACATCAATTGACTGTTTACTTGCTACAATTTATTTGGTACTGTGATTTTATTGTCATTATACTATCTATAATATTTTCTATATTTATTTGCTATATAGGATGTAATGTATTTACAGAAGCACTTAGTATGGTTGTTTGGCATTGTTGTTTGTAAAAAAAAATATATTGAAGAATCGATTGGATCATAAATATGCAAGTTACAAAATCTGATATTGACCAGCTGGTCCTTGGTAAGCATACAGCTAGTTACTTGGTTTGATTATTTAAGCAGTATCCTGTATAAAGAGGAAAAACCATATTCTCGCACATGTTTTCCCACCTGGTAATGCACAAAATAAAATATCCATCAAAAAGTGAAAGGCAAAGCTATCAGTTCTAGCCATGAATTTCAGCTTCCTATGCCTCAAATTGTATCTCATTCTCTCACATAGTTTTTCTTTTACGTATTCTTTGCCTTGCAGTGATTTCTGGTAGTTCTTGAAATATCTTTTATGAATAAATGTAATGGGAAATAATAATACTTCAGAAATTTATGACACTCCCTGATAGAGAACTCTATTTATTCCTTCCAGATGTTACATGTTTTAATTGCTTTTCAAGGTTATGTAGCAGAAGAACGATATATCGGGACAAGAGACAGATTGTTTCAAGATAGTCCGAACCTACCTGAAAAAGTCCCGATCCTGCCATTGTTTGGTAAATAATCAAATTTTATTTTTTGTAGACATCTTTATTAACAACATTATTTCTTCTACAAAATTATTCAATTTATTCTTTTTGTAATTTCTGTGGCAAAATGTACTGTTTTTTGTGCCTTTCTATCAGTGAGTGTATAAACTTTTTTATCAATGAAATTGAGAAAAAACAGTAAAATAATGTGGCTTTACCCCAAACTTTTCATGTACTTAATTTCTGAATTAAAGAAGTTCACTTTCTAATTTTTGTGTTTTTTAAAGTAAAGTAGGTTGGATGGCCTAGCGCAGGAGTGTGAAACGTTTTTGTCGGTGGGCCATATTATTATAACCAATTTTAGACGTCTCTCTGGGCCACACAAAAATTTATTTTTTCAATGTACACAACAAATTAAAAAATTCTCACAATGCAAAGTTTTAATTTAATTGACATTTTAGTGAAATTTTGAGTTCTTGCAGTTTGTTAATAACATCAGCTTTGACAGAAGTTGTAGCATAAACTGTCAGATTAAGGACATCTGAGTGTTGACAGTGGCCATACTGAATGGCTTGGCGGGCCGCCTGTTGCATACCCCTGGGCCCTGGCCTAGTAGTTCAGGCGTTAGATGTAACTGTGATGGCATCACAGAATGTTCATCTCAGGTTCAAATCCCATGCCCACCTTCTTACGCAGGGTGTAATAACTTGTGCAGGTGATGCCGATACGGGAAGTTTCCGCCTCCCGGTCCTCCCTAATAATAGTAGCTCTTTACATATTGTTATATATCAATCGCTGCTTGTATAAGGCCTCATTTGGAGTGTCATTAAAAAATCCTAATTATGGCAGAGTTTTGCCTGCACACTAATCATATATGATGAATGGGCATCAGATTAGAGTAATGGCTCTTCTGAGTAACTCTAGGTGACTGACTGTGTATTTAGAGCAGTGTTTCCCAACCGGGAGGGAATTCCTCCCTATGAGGCGCTTTTGTCATTCTTGGGGAGGAATTTTGCTTATTCTTCATTATAACCACTATAAGGCTTATTTATGCGCACATAAACTACTTAAACTGTACAATTCCTTAAAGGATTGAACAATAAAAATAGGTATTATGTATATTGAAGGAGTAATTGTGAAATAGGCGAAGAGATGAATTCAACGAAAAAGTTTGAAGTTTGTATTCACTTATACAATAAGAAATATTATTTGTTTTAAATCTTCAATTATATTTATACAGGAGATATACCGTCTGAACATCGCTTGCATACAATATTACAGGAATATGTTGAACTTAAAACAAAACACATGACCTCATCATGCCCACTATGCAACAATTGCAACTCAGTGTCGGAACTGTTCAGGGTTCTTCATCTGATTGTGGATAAAATAGAGTGAGTAATATGGAAAAATTTTGCGACTAGATATTCAATGTCAACTGATAATCTCTTTTTTTTCATTCATTAAGATAAAAAAAACTCACAATACATCTGTTATTTGACAAATATATATGTACTGAGCATATTAACATGATTGAGTAAATTAACATAGTATTTTTCTGATCTATCCAAAGTAAAGATATTACTGTTATTTTTTATCTGTTAGCGAGCTGCTGAGAATAATAATGTACGGTAATACCCCTTCTTTGAACATAGTTATCAACTTATGCGTCACCAAATTTGTGTGAATAGTTTATTCTTCCAATCATTTCACATAGTGACTTTCAAATTTGTGTTTTTCAATCCATACTTTGTTTTGGTTTATTTTTTCAAGTTTTACGATAATATAAACTTCATTCAGAAACTTCAATTTGTCTGTATCACCACCACAACTACAAGAAATATCTACTCCTACACCAGGTGAATTAATTTTACATATAAAAAGGATTCTAAACCTTTGTTGCATCTCTACAGTGCTTACTCTCACTCCATACATTGAATAGTAAAAGCCAGTATATTAATCGATACAACAAAAGATAGCTGAATTTGCATCCTATTGTTAAAAAAAAATTAACTTGGAATTGATTTACCGGTAAATGTTTTATCATTTTTCATGTTTTAAACAGAAGTTCATCGTTTGAGTCCATCATCAATATCACAAGAAAGAAGAGAAAAATCATCTAAAAAATCTCCAAATGCTATTAAAAGGACAGGTTTGTTTGACACTGCATTTTCATTTTTATCAATAAATTTCATGGGATTTTTTATTCCGAAAAAACATTGAAACAACTGTTCATTTGTACTGCTGATATTCTAATTGTTCACACGAATCTATGTACGCATTCAGAAATCTAATTTGTCCTAAGAAATATTCAAATTTTTATATGCTTCCATTTTAACTTTTTGGCATTTAGCAGGCTAATATCAGTGTTATATAATAATATCACAGAAGGTTGAACAATCTATGTATTTATTACAGTACCTGGATTAGACAAAGAGATGGGTTTACCATTCCACAGGAAGCAATTCAATCCAGAGACACAAATTTATGAGACGGTTCAAGATCATACAAGCTCAAGTAAGATGCTTAGTGCTGGTAATCACGGTATCAATATTTCTGAAGCTATTTTTATATCAACTTCAGATCTCGGAAAGAGTAGTTTTGGGAGTTCTAGGAGGAAAAAACCGACCATGCCAAAACGATTGCTTCCAACTCAACAACCTCAACAGTTAAATTCTTATGATGACGTAAGGAAAATTTTATGAGTTCATTGGATATATAATATTTAATATCCATATTGTGGTCACTGGTCATCTCTATGTCATTTGAATTTCTTAATTAGTTGACAAATAAATGCTAATAAAATATATCTTCATTGTATTGGAATCTACAGGAACTTTCAAAGCTCTTACAAACAACTGATACAACCAACGCTCTAGCTTTAGTCGGAGTCAAAATATTATCCAATATAAAGAAGTGCGGTGTTGTGAAAGGGTAAAATATACTTTATTTTATATTTTAACCTGATTTATTTAGTCTGGTAAAGACTAATTTTCAATATAGCTATTGAACAATCTGAGGTATTTTTGAAAGACTGTAAACAAGTAAATTCTTGATGCATTCAGATTATTTTCATCTACGACAAAAGTCTGTTTGAATAGTAATTAAAAGATCTTCATTTGCAGTTTTTCTTCTGATTTTTGTATGACACTTATTCACGCTTCACGCCTCTTGCTCCGAACAAGGCCCTGTACAATCACCACTGACACATAATGATATGTGACAAGCTACTATTGGAAGTACCTGTATCTTTATGGTTCAGCATTGCCTACTCAATTTATTACACCCTGTGCGATGCCAACACAGTTGATTCTGGTGTTTTAACCCCCGAGCCATTGTGTTAAGAATGAATTTCGCATATAGGCAAAAGTATCATGGAGTTTAATCAATTTTTAATTCTGTACTGTTTTAATCAGTTCTTGCTCGGCACTGATTATCTGTGATACCTTGATTGCAACTATACATTTCTTCATCCAATTTGTTTTTCGACGATTGAAATGCTTAACAATTTTTGTCCAAAAAATTTTTGTGGATGTAGCTGCGGTATCCAAGAACTATTGGATAATTATTGTTGAGAGTATATTTAAGACTGTTTGAAGAAATTATATAATATTAGATTATGGGTTAAGAAGACTCCATTCCAAATAAGGTTTAAATGATTTCCGCTGATTTTTAAAATTGTTTCATTGTTTTTGTACCAGGTCTTCTACTGAAAATGCCCCAAATGAAGTTACCAGCACTGTCTCACCAGTCAAAAACCCATTGTTACCTTCCCTGGATATTGATGATGTGAGTTATAATGCAGCATTATTTATACCTTGAGTTATAACTTCAATTCTGAAGAACAAAATCTTCCTGCTGCCAGGTTCTATTTATAATATATGGCGTATAAGTCAGTATTCTGGATTTAATTTAGTTATTTTCATTTCATGGTTATGAAGACCTTTTTAGTAACTATAATTATGTAGTTTTTTTCCAGCTTATATCTGATGAAACAAGAGGGGGACTAGTTGAAATGACGATCGACTCTTTGCTCAACCATAATCCAGACGGTAATATTTATTTTCTCGATTTCATTGTTTCTAATGAAGCACAGAGGTTTCAACTTTGGGATATGCCAGTAAAAAAGGCCGTCATGAAAGCTTAATTAAATAAATAACCATGGTCATTCATCTGGTTACCACTCGACTCTGGTGATGGGAATAGCTGATTAATGGTTTTAAATGCATAGACCTGGATGGTAGAATCTCTATCCATATATATATATATAGTGATTAAATAAACCATCCTGTCAATATCGTGAAGAGACCAGCAGCCCTCTCACACTTAATCATACCCTAAAAAATTTATAAACCAACGCAGGGTAATCACAGGTATGATGTCTAATATATTTGTAACCTACGATGATATGCCTACGATTTATATCGGTTGTTTTAATCGGGGTTCCGTGGCACCAGGGGGTTTCACCACAATCACCAGTATAGTCGAAGAGTTCCACCAGTTTCCATTCGAATCTGAGAGTCTATATTAATGTATGTATATTGTATAAATATATATTTTTGCTACACTTAAAGGTCATTTTGTGTTGTTAGTATTAGTTAGTTAGGTTTGCGTTTATACATATTCATGGATTCTACAATTCAGACAATAAAAGACAATTAGACTATTGCACAGGGGTTTCTCGAGACTCTAGAGACGGTTTCATTGGGGTACAGGGGTTTCTCGAGACTCTAGAGACGGTTTCATTGGGGTTTGGCTCCACCAAAAAGGTTGACAATCACTGGTCCGATATATTTGGAAAAACCTGATTTTTGACTACTATTTCTTATTTTCTTAACTTATCGACAGATTGTGCGCAAGAAGAAACATCTTTAAAAAATTTTGATGAAGATTTATCTGAATTAAGAAAATTGCTGGAGTTTGAAGACAGCAATATGTCAAACCTCAATCTACCAGATGTAATTCAAGCAAAACAAGGTAAAAAGATATTAATTTTATTCGGTGAATATACAATATATAAAATTCTTCAAACATGTAACATTTCGAGAAACTATCTCATCTGAAGGAAATTGCCAGTTTCTACATAGTTTTGATTTTGAAACTTGCAGTCTCCCTTATAAGTGTCAATTAAACTCTTTTCAGTATTATTGAAGTAATTGGAAAATTTATGAGCTCATTTTTTTATTCACCCTTTATGATCTAATTACTTCTGAGTCGCATTGCAACTGCCAGTTACGTTTAGCATAATTAAATGAATATAGAAAGACTTTTAGATTCTTGTTGTTGTCGATAATTGAATATTTTACACAACTGAAAAGTTATTAGAATCAGAGAAATTCGGACCTTTTAGCGAGTACGTACTTAATCATAGCGACTGTTTCAGAAGGGAATGGCAATTTCTGATTTTGCCACCCACCTTCAAATAATATTAGCTTGCGCCCCTGTTGTGGTCGATGCTTATATATTTTTGAATTTTTAGATGAAAGATACCTGATGAATATTATCAAAGATGATGACGATGATTTACCTTCAAATCCAACAATAGAGTTACAAAGTGAACTTCCCATCGACAATTCTCTGAAAGTTTCTGGTCAGTCGCCAGATGAAAAACAAGCAATAGGGGGACTTTTAGCCATCCAGTGTTGCCATGAAAATGGTAGAGATAAGGATTCTGCTGTAGAACATACTCTGAATGGAAATGACGTTAATTATATTAAAGAAACAGAAGATTTATTTGAACTTCCATCTGTGATTGAGCATGATGCACAAAGCCCCATCTTGCCTACGATAATTAACGTGATATCACATAGCGAAAACCCTCCTAATGAATCTGTATTGAACCTTCCAAATGGAACAAAAACTTCAGAAACGACTACTAAAACACTTAGCAATGAGCCGTCTGGTACTTTACAACAAACAGACATTGCAACGGATGTCACAGTAAATATAAACCAACCTCAAACTCAAGACGATAATTTCAACAAACCCTGTTCTACTATGCCACCTAAAAAACGTTTTCTTGCGCAAGGTTCAATCACTCCCGAGAAATGTACACCCATTAATAAAGCTGAAAGTGTTACGATGCCAAATCCACTTAATTCTTTAAATCAAAATGGAAATTGTTTGAATTTCACTATATCTAATTCTGGTCAAAAAACTTTGATTAAACTTCGCAGTCCAGATATGGTATCAGCTGCTGTTGCCTTAGCAGATCTAGAGTCTACTGTAAATACCCCAAATCCCGATAGCACTGCACTAAATCATGATGAAAAGCAAAAGAATGAATCATGCTTAAGTCCAAGCCAATTAAGGCGTAGCAAACGGCAAAAAAAATCGAATTTTTGTCTCAAGGATGTTGTTGGAAAACGTAGACCCAGTTCTCGGGGTCGTAAGAGTGATGAAGGGGATGTAAAAGAAAATGCCAAAAAGAATCTAATGAAAAAAGGATGTCAGAAAAAGTCTAATTTATCAACGTCTAATATTGACCGAAATTTAGAAGAAACTCCAAATAAATTATGTGTTATGAACCCTGGGAAAGGAGCAGTAACTCTCAAATTAAATGATAGAGGCAGAATGCCTTTACTTGTGAAAGGCATACTTGCGCAACCCAAAGGAGGCAAAATTACACAAGATATAATAGGCCGCTTGGTTGAGCAATTGCAAGATAAAGGTGGTGGAAATGAGTCACCATCAAAGGTTCAACAAGCTCATTTGCCTGTAGTTGATAAGAACAATATTATAGTAGACAGCAACAAAGAGGTTGCAAATATAATTACTGATCCTACGCATCAAACGCAGATTTCATCCTTACCTCAGCTGCCGCAAAGTTCATCAATACTGTCAGACATCTTGGCACCTCTTTCATCGTGTTCATCGTTGGTATCTCAAATCCCAGAGCCAGATTGCCTCAATTCCCTACAGATATCTGAACATGTAACACAAATGTCAAACACTATTTCATCAATGCCTCAAAATTTGTTATGTATGTCACACACGCTACCAATGCCTTCGAATTTGGTTATTGATACTGCTGTTAATATGTTGAACACTGGCGATGAAGTTTCTAGTGTTAATGACTTTTCAACAATTTCACCGTCAGCGGGAATATTCTCCGTCATTGGTGCCAAGCAAAATAGTTCAAACGGACATTCAAATGTAAAAATTGATGATAAATTAATAGCTGCCAAATCAAATTTAACAAAGTTGTTTGCTAACTCGGAACCTGTCGTCCAATGTGTGGATTCTGATGTTGCAAACTCGCAAAAAACCTTAACAGCGAGTGAAAAAACATTTGCAGATTTATCCACAGTGAGTCATAGTTGTGCTAGTATGGTTGTATCGAATTCTCTAGCACAAACTGGCACACCACCTATAGAAGTGTTTGTGCCATTGGTTCCTGGAAGTCGATCATTATCTCAGCTGGAGTCTGAAGTTCGTGCCAGAAAAAAAGCGAAAGCACAAGCGAAAGAAAAAGGTAAGGCTTCTTCAAAGTTGTGAGGACTTAGAGTACTAAAGAATTATCTTTTCAGGAGGGACCAGGGTATTGTTTATTTAACTGCAGGCCCGTTTCTCTACTTCTTACTTCGGATCTGCATGTGTCCATTGCCACAAGGTTGTCTTGTCCCTCGTATTATCTTACACACTTTTGCTACTTTTGCGTTAGAAATCTGTAAATACTATTCGGGATATATCCGTTTTCAACTAGTCTGAACTGAAATGAATTTATTCTGAATGAGCGAGTTCAGTGAGATCGTGATTCGTTTTGAATTGTTCTAACTAAAAATTTGTCGATCAAAAGGCTTTTATATTTGGCCAGTAAATTCATTATATAAATCTCCTTTGAATACATAGACTCTAAAATGTAATTGTCATCAGATTCTCAGGATGAGGTAACACAATGTAATGTACAGATTAATTCTAAATATTTGTGTACATTCATGTTTTGCATTTGCTTGCTTTTAGTGTCAACAAAAGTTTATGGTTCGAAGAAACCAAATAGCATCTACATGTGCAATAACAAAAAAGAGATGGTCAGAATCGAACCAAAGCGGTCTTCAAAGGTTGCTGCTGTTAGAAGATCTATTGTCCCTGTGGGTCGGACTGATCAATCGTAAGTTGATGAAGGACTTCATTTTTATGTTGTTTTTAATGTTATGAACTGTTAACCAAATTTACCCTTCAGGCAATGTTACGAATTTTGCTTAAATGAAATATATGTCAAAATTTAAATGAACCTCTCTTATCTTTAGTCAAATAATATGAATAAGGTGTCTCTCCAGTACCATGCTTTTTTTATTTTCTCTTCAACAAGGCAACATCACAAGTTTAATTCTGACTGTTGTGTTTGCTCGTAATTTTATTTTTCATGATTGCTCTTAGTAGACATTGCCTTCATATGTTTCTAGAACTCCTGTTCGATCTGTCACAACATCGATTGAAAAAACGCATTCTAAAACATCATTTAGTGAAGATGTCACAAAGGTCAGGGAGGTGAGGTCTGCTGAAAATTTGAATAAAGATCAATCAAGAAAGCTTCAAGTGAAAAATAAATTTGATATTGAAGAGTTGTTACAAGAAGCAAGTACAAATGTGCAAACAGAACAAAATCTGGAAAAAATTCCCATTACTTCGTCTGCTAATACTTCTGATGAAATGTCTAAAGAAGTTTATTCAGAATCATCTTGTTCCTTGCACATAGTGGAGAATATGGAAAACTGTGATCCTCTCGAAAAATTAATGCAGAGCGCTGAGTTGGAATATAGAGCTAGTGAATCTCTGCAACCTGAATTGAAGCTTGTTAATTTGAACCTGTCTTCTGATGAGGTAGTTTCCAATATATCTGTGATATCTGATATCGCACCAAAGATCTCAATAACACCAAGTTCTAAACATGATGGCTTGGAAATAAAAGAAAAATATAAATCAAATCATATTTCAACTTTGTTCTACAGTCCAAAAAAGAAAAGATTAAAACGGAAAAAGAAAAGTATGTCTAGTGACAAATGTAAAAAGCCAAAGATAAAAAGTAGCCCTCTTATGAAGTTGTCATATGACGAAATTCAAGCTAAACTTGATGCTGTGCATGGCAAAAAAGAAGAAAAAGGAATTAATGCAAATGTACAATCAGTAGAAACGAGTGAAATTCAAATCAGAAGCGACGCAATTCCTGGAGAAAGGGAGACGAACAAGACTGATTCATTATTTAATTTTGAGGCAGGAATGAAAAAGAACCATAAAATCCATCAACATCGAAATAGTTCGCCCAATAAAAGATCAAACAACAAATTTGATGAACTTCAAAATCAACATGAGAAGATTTTACACAAGCATGATGAGTCAAGAACCTTATTACTTGAGGTAATTATCATCTCACACAAATGTCTTTTTGGTAATGTAAGTTTTGTATTTTACCAAAGAGATATTAAAATATCATAAGTCTTTTATCTACACATAAAAGCATAAATATATTTGCCAGTTACTACTTTCTGAAACCAAAGTTTAGTACCTGTGTAATATCATGTGTTTAGTCCAGCCTGTACTTGTGTAATATCAGCCTGCCCATTGTTTCACAAACTGAACCTTCGGCCTATCCTAGGGGGTAACAGAGCGGTACTCTGGGGGCCATAATCAAAGCACTTCACTAGATACCATTAGTTACTTCATTAGTTCAAATAAAATTAAATCGGTTTCTTTACCTATAATGCATTCTTCTTTTGCCTCCATCTGTTGATTTTATTATTATTAAACATGGCGCATAAGAAGAAAATTAATAAACTGCCTAAAAATGAATGCTCAACCCAAATCCAATCCTTTTCAATATCACGTTTTTCTAATTCAATCAATCAAGCAATGAGATTTTTGTTTGTTGATAAAGCATACAAAAGAAATTTATCCATCGAAATTGACTATTTATTTATATGTATCTTGCACAGATGGAGCCACTGGATTTTTCGCTTTCAAGTTGGGCAAACTCTGATACAATGCAAAAATTTCTCACTGATTCTCCATTCAAGATGCCAGACAATTTCAAGAGGTAGATTATTTTATGTGGATTTGAAAAATTTTCTAATAATTGATTGTTTCATGTCTTTGCAGTATGGAAAAACTGGATCACAGTGACATTTTGACAATATATTTTACCCAATATCTGAACTACGAGACACACAGGTTATCATGACCATTTTCAGTTTTCCCTTGACTTAATAAAAATCATTTCGCTGAAGCTGGGCTTCATAGTGACTGAACAGCGATCGTTGAAATTGATAACAAACCTGGAATTACTCTTTGAATCCGAGCTTGTTTTTGAAAAACCTGATCCAATTGTTGCTTCTGACTCTGTTTGCAAATACAAACTGATTGAAATCCTCCACAGTTGATGTTGGAAAGTTCAGATACAGTGGCGTTTCTAGCTGAAATTTTCATTATCTGAATAAAATACCTTGGAAAATATTGAAAACTAAAATATCACACTTAAAAATTGAAGATGATAATATTTATTGTTTGTTTCAATCATCAAGGAATCGGCCAGATGACAAGACTAAAGATACATCTTTTTCAACAAGTGCGTGTTCAAACACCACAATTGTGACAGATCATACAGTATTGACAGCAAATACGATTGATCCTACTTCTCGTGATGATGAACGAACGAATACTCCATCAAAGTCATTTCGTCAAAACAGCGCATCAGGACGAGACGTACAAAGTGAAAGCGATAAGGAATTACAGCCATTCTCCAAAGACATAGCCAATGGGGGCAACACAAACACACCAGTAACAGGTTGTGCACAAAAGACAGTAAGAAACAGCATCACTTGTGAGAAAGAATTAACAAACACCTCAACTTTGAGTAACTCCTCGGGACATAAAATAAAAAATGAAAGTATATGTGTAAACGGAAATAAAATCATATCTGGGTGCAATGATTTAAAATCTAATACATTAGTTCCATCGAATAATAATGAGGTGGGTATAAGTAAAAAGAGGCGCTCAGATGAGAAACATGGAAAACAAAGAAGAAAAAGCCGTACTTTTAAAAATTTGACTTATGAAGAAATTCAAGCCAAGTTGGATGCTTTGTATGGTACTAAAAATGATGAAAACAAAACTCCAGAATGTCATAAAACAGTGAACTGTTTGACAAATAACGAAGTTAAAACAAAACTGAACAAAATCGATTTCAAAAAGAATTTGAAAAAGAAAAAGATTTTGGCCGATACTGAAGTAGAATCTATAAAAAATAAAAACCGAATTCAAAATCCAAGTCATGAATCCAAAAATAATGATGGTGTTGCCAATATTAAGAATACTTCAGAAATTATCACACAGGCTGCATTGAAATGTGCTATTGTCGAAACAACTGATGGTGTTGTTAATGATATCCATCGTCCCAAAAACCAAACGAAAAGCCTTGCTTTATCTAACTCTATGAATAACAAACCAAATTCTAGGGATCCAAAAGCAATTGATATGGATGCTTTGAACTTGAAGACTACTGAGTTAAAAGGAGTAGAAAAAGCTTGTGATAATCAGCATTCACAGAAACCGAGTAATGCAGGAACAATATTGAAATACTCTCCAACAACTTTGGTTTATGAGGTATGATTACAATAAACTAATAATGCTCTTTGTGATCCAAGAAGGGGGCCTGTTTTGTTTGCTGTTAAACAAAGATCTTATGGGTTTGTGAAAATCTCTTCTTGTTGTATGTTCCCTGCAGAGTTGTTTGATAGTTATCATATCATTGATTGTTGGTATCATTGTTATGAATAGAACATTTTTCCAAACATGGTAGATCACATACCTCTGAAAGTATATTCTGCAGTATTTTGTTGTTTTCTACATTCCATATGTTTCACAAACTTGACCTGGTTAAGTATAAGCACAAACATAGTTTCATTTTGTATCACCGCAAGTATCATTCTCATTTTGCATAATAAGTAATCTTTTTAGCCCTAATTTAGCTAATACACAGCCATAGCTTCTAACAGCATATTTTGTATTGAGTTGAAGTTGAACTTTTTCATCTTAGATGGAACCAATGGATCTTTCATGCTCTAGCTGGGCCAATCTCAAGTCACCAGAAAAAATGGTAAATGAGCATCTTGTCAAAATTGAGAACAAACAAACTAGGTGAGTCTGGACTTATTTATGTATCTGTTTATAAATGCTCATATCGTAACAAATTAAAGCACAGTACTACAGTGATAAGACTAAGTCATATACCATTGAAATTAAAGTCTACAACTAAACTTTTTGTTGAAAAAAAAGGGTTGAGACAATAAGGATCAGGACAGGGAAATCCATTAAGAACTTTATTATTCATCTTGTATCTTCGTTTTATCAGGGTCGTTTCAGATTCGGGTGAAATTCCAGAACTGCATACGCAAAAAGTAAATCATACTCGTCATACATTACTTTCAAGGGAAAATAATGAAAATACATCGAGTATGCAAAAATTTAACAGGAAAAAGAAAAAACAAAAACTTGGCAAAGAGTCTCAAAAAATATCTAAACGTTCGGTGGGTTTTCTTCTATTTTTTGAATAATGCCAGCTTATTTTGTTTCACTGGGTTGATTTTAAAGTTCTCTCTTTAATAACTTTTCCATATAACTCAAGATTAGGGATGCGACAAGATTCGAACTCGTTGCTGAAACTCTCGTAATTTGATACTGGATTCGGCCCGAGTCTTTTATGATTTTACCCGAGTCCGGGACATCGTACATCACGCGATAGTCAATTGCAGACTGATGGCGCATTCGACGAGAAATTCAACTTTTTCGTTCTGTTTTGCCAGAGTGTGTTCAGCCGATTTTCTTCTCTATTTCTCTCTTTTATCCAACTACCTTCGCAGCGAAGAAACTTCATCGCCTGTCTCGCTTGCTTGTTAAGACATTTCGAGAGATAAAAACTTGTCGACTATTTATTTAGACGGCTTACATTCTCGAAATTACATCGCAACAGAATGAAACAAATCAGCAGAGCGATACATCCCACAAAAACGTTTGCACGAAATGTATGATTTATGCATTTATCCAAATCCATTGAGACGGAAAGGGAACTCGGACGATCAATTTTCTGTAATACTCGAATATCAAAGTATTCGAATAACTTTTTTGTCCGATTTTCGAATAATTCCGAATAATAGCCGCTCTTCGCCGTCAGCGAGGTGTTTTTGAGGGAAATCTTTAAACCATATACCGCGCTTTGTCACGTTTCGTAATGACGGTGAAACAGTATCGGTACTTTGATTGTTTGTTATCGTCTGTGCGAGCGCGTGATTCGCATTGTCGCCATTCTCCTGTAAGGCTTCTAATTCACGCATTCATTGGCATTACGCCGAAAAATTGTAAATTATGTTAAGTCGCAATTGTTACAATACCCAACAAATTGTCGCAAGTTGGGATACACAGGTTCATCGAATTACGAAAAAATAAAAAAACATCAGCCTACTACTCTAAAATGCCACAGTAATCTGTAGACATGAAATGCGTGGTAAACTGCCCGAGTATAAATAATTTTTGATTTGTATTTTCGTATTTACGAAAAAATGAAAGCCTTACTACTATTTGAAATAGCAATTTATTTTGTATTGGCCAACCCTAGTTGAAGCGTATTGCTGGAAATAAGAGGTTAAGTTGAAATATCAGAAAACATTTGTCTTTTTATCACGAGTCTGGCATAGATCCAACCATAGTCAGATATTAAATAGGTTAAATAAGTGCGTTTTGTTACAAATTACCACACTCAATATATTGTCGCAAGTCCAAAAAACAAGTTGTCGCAAAAAACAAGTTAATTTATTAGAAGAAATAATTTATAATTTTCCCGCTTTTTGGCAAATAATTTTGATAATGATAGTTAAAAGTATCACTCTTTACTAGGATGATTCTCTGTTGCCCAAAATATTCAAACCCATGAACGATACCAGCATTTAAAATGCTTTATCAAATTAATATAATTCAAGGCCTTACTATTCTAAAATACCACGGCAATCTGTGGATATAAAATGTGTGGTGAACTGCCCGATTATAATTAATTTTTTGATTTCCACTTTCGTACTTACGAAAAATAAAGGCTTTTTCACTCTAAAATACCATGGCAATTTTGTTGACCTAAAATGTGTCCTAAACTGCCCGATTATAATTAATTTTTGATACGTATTTCCATACTTACAGAAAAATAATTTATGATAGTTATAATTAATAATTAATGGTAGTTATGACTTATGAGTATAGACTTTTTACCAGGGTGATTTTCTGTTGCACCAAATATTCAAATCTATGAACGATACCAGCTTTTAAAATGCCTTCCCGTATTAATTTAATTCCGTTTAACCGAACCTAAGGTTGCGTCGGATTCCAAATTACCGGGCAATCTGCGGACATAAAATGTCTGGGAAATAGTCAGGTTGTAGACAACAGTTATTCCATTGTTTATCGTATGCATATTCCTTCATACATAGGACAAGCTCGTTTACTTGAGTTTATTTTCGAGTGTATTCAAAATTTCATATTCAAAAATAATGAAAATGATTTAAACCTGCCGCTCAGCGAATGATAGAAAACAATAGTGTTTATGTGCAACGTTTTGAATTACATAGTCTTATCTTACAAAATGTTTAATTTACGCCCAATATACTCGAACAACAGCATCACTTTAGGTATTTATTTCGGAGCTATGTAAAAGTGTTGGACTTGGGACTCGGACACGACTCCAGCCGAAATACTCGTATTCAGTCGAGCCGAACCATTTTGGATTCGTCGCATCACTACTCATGGGTTTTACTCAGAAGTCTGTAATTTACAAGTTCGGGGCTATTCTTATTTGAACCATTGGAATTAGATTTATACTATTTTCAAAAAAATTACTTCATTATCCGAAATATTGCACGATTGTTGATATTTAGTCTGATTTGGCTTTTGATGACTGCTAACCCATAAGAATGATTGCATGTGTAACTTTATGATTGATTCTATCAATTTTACACAATAATCTTCAGGCTGATTTGAACCAATCATCTTAAATAAAACAGCGAAAGGATAAATGTTGCTATTTAAGTTTGCTGGTATCGAAATGTAAAGTACAAAGAGTGAAGGAACCTATTTACTTTTACAGAAAAAGCCAAGAAAAATGAACTTGAAAGACATCAATATATCAGATTTCTTAAGATTCATTAGATTATGGCGAATGATCAATGTGCAATCATCAAGAATATTATTTTTCGCAAGCTTGTTAGAGTATTTTATTTTCGTCAACGAGTTGGAAAAGTTGCAAAAGAATGACACCTGATTTTTTTTTTATTCACAGTCATTCATTGTGTCTTCGTCTGAATGTACAAATAAACCCAAAACTTCATTGGCATATGTAAATCAATGCATCATGTACAATCATCGCACATATTGTTGATAAATTACAAACAGGTGCTAACATATGTGCATAATTTTTATGATGTTAAGAGCCATTTTCATTTTCATACCCTATCGTTCTTTCTCGTTTTGCAAATTTCAGTATGTAATTTTTATACAAATCAAAAATAAAGAAAATACATCTCACACTGATTAGGTATCGCGTAAGCTTCGGATGACTTCCAAATTAACTGCAAGATTAGTTTTAACAAATGTCGGCGAATTTACAACGCTTCACTTCACATATGTGGACTACTTTTTCAGAGTATTCCAACGATATCAAGTATAAGCTTGGTTTCTGAGCACTCTTACATGCGTGGCCCCGCCAAGTTCGTCTGTCTTTACCCTACGTGTGTTCGAATCCAGCGGGGGGATAATTATGCGCTAGACGGCTAGAGGATTGCTGGACTGCTCAGTACCCACTGCCGTAGTGTGGTCCACGTAACCGCTGGTCGGTTACGGCTTCCTCCGCCATGGAAACCATGTCTCAAGAAAAAAACAACTGGCTAACTAATCCCATGCCCGACATAGACTGGTAAATGGGCGAGAGGTTGTGGTTCGCCATATGATTAGGCCGTCTTATAGAAGCCTTCGTTCACCCAGGAAAAATATATAAATCCTCCATGTATGCTTCATTGTGATATATATATATATCGAGAATTAGCTCGTTGTCAACTCTATCGTGCGAGTTACGGTCACCCATAAGTCAGTTGACTTCGCAAGGGTCGAGATCTCAGTTTGATCACATATGTAGTTCTCAATGCAACCAAATACTACCTGGGTCTAGAAACACTGTACTGGTTCAACTCAGTTACATCCAGAAGTCAAAGTTATTTCGATACGAAATTTATTTGAATGAAAAGAGCAAGTTTTCAACGACCAAAAGCATTGAAATGACTTGTTTCATTGCGAATCAGCAATGAAGTACCTGTGTGGGAGTATCTATAGCCGGATCAAATAATTCATGAGGATCAAAAATCGATATCACAAAATGATCTCATATTTTGGAGTACAACTGAAAAACCGGTGGGTTGGCTAGAATATCAGTATACGTTTCGTCGGAATTGTCAATCCTGATTCTTCCAAATGTCGTACAAGTATATCAATGCTATCTTGGACGTTGAAACATGCTCAAAATCGTACAGAGAAAATATGAATAAAGGTAGGTTGAGATTAGTGGGCAATAAAAACCCATTTCTACGGAAGCCTTGTAGCCTAGCAGAATTTTTGCTTAGTTGAGGTGTTCAAGATAATCTAGGAAATAAAAAACCGTCGTCCACGAATGAATATCGACCGAAGCTGATCTTTATGTTATATCTTACTTCGTATAAATTGGCCATTCAGTTTATCATTCTCTTTCATGCATGTTGCCGGACTTACGCTGGATATTGATTGCCGTAATGATTGTCTTTTGGGATAGCTCTGAAGTACGCGCGGAATCCACCTTCCGTTGTTGTGAAGTCTGGTTTGAACACCAGATAATCAAAGCATTCGAGAACTGATATATCTTGAAAGCAAGCCGATTTTCCGTCCATTATTGCAAATGCGCGAAGGCGCGAGTTTCCATCGTAGAACTGAAAAATCGTTATTTGTAAATACATGGAACTAAAAACAAATATCTGGGTTCTTAATTAGATATGCTAGTTTACATCACAAAACAACTATGATGCTTTGATTTTTTATAAAAAAAAAGTTATACGTTTCTTCTATTTTTCAACCCGGCTCCGACAATTCCTTCCTATAGCCCTACAAATTCATCGCATTTGCTGCCCCATATTTGATAATTTTCAGACAAATAAATATAAATAGAGAGAGGTTTTATTGCATAGTTACAATATTTGGTCCGGAATCGATTTGTGTGAAATCCGATTACTTGAAACAAAAACTGAATATCCAATTGGAGCAGAAATTGTCCATTCACATCGTGGCGAGTCTGGGCTGGAAGGCCAGTTTGGACTTGAAATATATTTCCTCCTGTTTTCAGAGCTCTCCGAACACCACCACATGCTTCTTTACTAGAATCTACGTAATAAGACAACATTCTGAGGTATTCCAGTATATGCCGCGGAACGTTTTTTTAGTAACTGTCGACGTGTATCTATCTATATGTATATATATGTTAAATCATGAAATATGCTTGATTTATAAGGTGAAATACATTCTATTTCTATTGTTTAAAACCAACTTTAGTGCATTGGATCTCCTTTATAAGAAAAGCGTTATAATAGTAGCCTGCATGGTATACAATTGTATATTCTGTTGCAGGGCCTATGTTTATAAAAGATCTTACCATGCAGCCTTTCAAAGACAGCTCGAAATCCACGACTTGCAGTTGAGATATCGGATTCAAAATCTACTCGCAATTTGTTAGAGGAAGATACGTAATAGGAAAACATGATGTTTTTTCCACTTAATACTCCTAATTTTCTTGAAGTTGGTTTATCTCCATCCCGAATCTGCATTACATATATATACTTTGATAATAATTTCAAATAAGCAGCAGTTTTACATTCTAACACACAGAACTACTCGAAGAAATATCGAAATAAAAATTTAACTATATATAGTAATATATATATGTATAAAATGTAACAGAGTCTGTTCTTTTCAAAACATTACATGAAGACGAAAAATGATTGTGTTACGCTCGTTTTTCGGAATTTATTCGAATTCGAAAACGTTACCTTGATGAAATCACAGCAGGCTTCTGTGCTCACTGATGTGAACCAAAGCATTATTTTGACCTTCGGAGGAGCCATTAGTATCCAGACACATTTAAGATCATTCGCATGCTTCATTGGATATCTGGGTGTAGTAAAGGTGCCATGTCCATGTTGAGGTACAACGAATCTTCCGCCGCATTTTTCTGAGCAATAAAAAAAACGTTAATGCATATGAAGGCGGAAAAGCAAATCAAAGTTAAGGCTTTTGAGTTGCACTGTAAAGCGTCACTGTACTACATGTATTTATCCTATACGTTTATTACATGCATTTTCATAACTATTTGGTTCTACCTGATTGCCCGGAACTTGGAAATTATGAAAATATCAGACGTATGCAAAAAGACCACATAATTAGAAACAAGCCATAATAAACAGTCCCAGACGCTACATATTATTATACTTCGAATTCTGTCGAGAGATCAGCAAAGTAGCTAAGTTATTACTTACCATTAAACGCACTGGCAGCTAAATTTAGCCTGATATATTATTTTAGTTCTTTCACTGATGTTTCAACTAAACCAAAATTCTTCCAAATACAAAATAATTTGATTTATACCTAAATTTGGAAATCATCACTAAAAACTAAATAAAACTTAAAATTTATAAAACCGGTTAATGTTTATATTATACAGTTTTTTTAGTAGTTTTCGAAAATATGCATAATTGAAGAAAGTTTCTGAAGAACTGGTTAAATTGCAATTGTTTCGCCACGGACAATGGCCATTGCTATATGGTTGTCCATATGAATGGCGCGCTGGCCAATATGGCACACAATGGATTTTTGAAAAAAAAAAGCTTCAAAGTGCGTCTCATGGTCCGTAAAATGGTTCATGAAAATTTAAAGACAATTTTATGTGTTACCGGAATAAGATTAAATGAAAAATGATCATACCTTTTTCTATTTTAATTACTTTTTGTTTTCTTTCGACTGTAAAATAAATGAAAGCATCGTAAACAGTAAGTCTGATTCAACAACCCACTCTATTTTGAGGAAAAATGGGGCTTATAAATGTGTTAAGCTATAATTTTTGAGGTGTTTGCATTCAGTCACTATAAAGGTTGTTATCTATATCCGACACCATACGCAACTTTTTTTATTCATGATTACTACGTTTGACTAGTTTGAGAAATTTAAATTCGAATTTTGACGTTTAGCTTTATGGCTATATTAAAATTACCTGCTTTATAAACGGCTGAAAAACCTCTTCTAATTGTTGTACTATCAGATCTAAATACAACTTGTAATATACCCCCAGTAGATATATATTGTGGTTGAATTTGTGGACCGATAGCTCCTCCCAATTCATACACTTTGGAATTCATTGAATTACCATATCTTACCTGGATATAAAAAAAAGATGATAATGATTAATGCCGCGACCGAGGTAATCCTAACGTTGTCAGGTGCATCATTATTGGACACGAAATGGACCTATTGATCGTTTTGTTATTATGTTGTTGTTCTTGTTGGTATTTTTCTGCTTGTTGTTACTGTATGAAAAAAATCGCTTTCCTCATTTACTGCTCGATCAATTGCTTGGTAATTTTTAGTGGTTAAAGATTGCAATTTTCGCTAGACGCCTGTTACTTTCATTTAGTTCAACCTTGTGTGGGCTGTATATGATTCGTTTTTCACTTCGAATTTTTGGGTGATGGCCTCTTGAAAATTAATACAAATTATTTGTAGCGGTTCTTCGACCTCTCTTTCGTGCTACGCGCTCTTGCTAAGTTTTTTTTTTGATGGTATATAATAATTGATTACTTCGTACGCAAGGTATAAAAAACACAAAATAGGAAGCGCATTGAAGCTGCAGGCACAATGCAGGCTTTATAAAATCTAAGATAGCTCGTCACAAAAGCATCCGAGAATATATTATAATATATTCATTGCAAAATGGCGTTTTGGTACTTCTGCATCTCTCCAAATACAATCAAATATTTTTTCTATGCAGTGCTTCAAATTAGGAAACATTACCAGATGGTATTGAAATATTCTCATGTACTGTTATTTCATGTAATACACCATATATATACGTACCAAGACATAATCACAGCATGATTCTGTATCCATTTCTTGAAATGTAACAGCAACGCTTTTGTCCGCAGGTGCTTTTATTGTCCATGTACAATGAAGATTATTTTCATAATGAACTGGCCAACCAGGAGATTTTAGAAGCTTGCCTTCTTCCTGCGCTTCCAAATTTTCTGTACAATTTTCCGAGTGAGTTGTGGCTGCAAGTGTTATGGCAAAAATGTTACAATACAAAAATGATTGACCTACACTCCTGTATGTAAGACATTTAAATAATATATTCGCTTAGAGTTGTAAAATAATGGAAGGTCCCTAATCCGTGGATACAATCAAGCGTACTGAGCATGTTTTCTTTTGAAAAGTTTTAATTTTCAATTCGAGATGTGTTATCACCTGGTTACTCCCAGCTTATAAAGGTGACGGATATATGATATTAAGTCCACGATACAATTATTTTTGTATCTGATTCAAGATCCTTAATGTTTATCACTTGCTGGTATTATTAGATATGCGTCATAAACAGCTGGACTATATTAGATGTGACCAAGTAGATAAGCTGTTCGCACTCAATAGATTACACAGCTTACACGGCGCGAAATTCAGCGATTTGATCTGGAATTTCTATAAACTTCAATTTTTTTCGAAATATCAAATCCTACCTATCCTGTATTCTGCTGCAAAACCATTGTCTTCATATGATTCATCTGTTTTGAAACGAACAAAAATTGATCCAAAGGATGAAACGTAAATCGATTCCGTGACATTTCCACGATATGTGGCTAGTAGTCCAGAGGAACTAGAATTACCATCCCGTAACTGAAATGAACTTATTATTTTAAATTCAGATTATATAGTGGTACGTATTGTTTGTGAATCACCCATTCTGATTTGCACCCTCCAGTGGATGAAACGGCACATCCGGGAGTATGTGCACCAGGATGGCGCAGAACGTGAACCCTGACCTGGTGCACATACTATGTTCAGGTTGTGCACCATCTTGGTGCACATACTTCTGGAGGTCCGATAAAACTTCATTGCTAACGACACGAAAAAAGCGATTGTGCAAACGAGAAATAACCTAACACAATAATTCAAGTTGTGTGATAAACAAAATAATCATTAGCTAGTGGAATCGAAAATATTTACATAAAATGCAATTGTCAATTTGATATATATAGGTATGCTAGTAATAAATTTAAATTATGTTCACCTCAATGATGTCACAGCATGATTCCGTCAAAACTTCAACAAATACGATTTCTACTTGATGACCGGGTGGTGCTTCAATAACCCACTGACAATCCATGCCACTGGGATATCCCATCGGATATCCGGGAGAGAAAAAGAATTGAGCCAGGTAATGTGCCCGAAGGGTAGACGGAGGACATTTGAACATACCTGAATAACACAACAATCTATTATGAGCAAACTTGTTCACTCGATGTTTATAATTAAGGTACCATGTTATAAACTTTGTAATATTGTTTTATATTTACGATTGCGATTACAACGCACAAAACAAAATGGTTGCGTGGTAATAACTTCTAACCTCTGAGTTTTGTTATTACTTATTATAGCAGAGATTAAGATTTTAATTTAATAGAAAATGACACAGGAAAATAGCTAATGAGAATTGTGTAACCTATACGTACGATTTAAACAAAATGAGGAAAACTTATATAATACCACACGTCGTTTGAACTTGCTATTATGCGTTCGTGATTTCTCAATGAATCTGCACAAAATATTCATTCACACTCGACGTATAGCCATATTTTCAAAATTCCAACGGAATTTTATTTTTGATTTCTTTTTATTTACATTCTATTTAAAGTTGCAACACTTGAATCCGATTTCAACAGTGTCGTCGGGATTAATCATCGATAAGACACGCCATTCATCAATGTTTCTCATGTGTCAAACGTAATTTCTGCTTACATTGTCATTAAAACTGAACTTATCTGCTTTAACATCTTGTTCAAAATTGAATTTACAATTTATTCTTTGTGAGGAATTCCTAGTTACAATAAAACCATTTTTGAATATTTTGCCAATGACGTTTGACGTTTTAAAATTTAAAAAAACACAAAGTAAGCGTTTTATTGATGTTTTGCTATCTGTAAGAATTTTAAATAAATATTGCCATTTTTGAGATTTGCATCGTACAAATCATATTTAATTGATGAAAAATATTCGATACAATTTAATATTTTGTTAAAAATTGCGTTTTCAAATTTTTTTTCAAAATTTATTTTATCTCAATTTTGAATGTCTTATTATCCGTTTTCATCGACTGTTTGATCTGAATGAAATGTTAATTTCTATGATATTTAGTTTGTTAACTTCAAAATAGTGGTTTTCACATTTTGTTAAAAAGAAGCACATAACTGCGGTGCCTGGTTCGGGAGAATTATCTGACAATTTGGGCGCCAACGACGTCAAATTGTTGTCAAATTTTCCTATGATAATGTCAAATAATAACACTTGACAAATTGGTTGGTTTTCTGATCCATTGTTAATCGTAATTTTGGAAATAAAAAGGTAATTCACAACGAAATTTAATACTTTACAAACTACATAGGCGACAATATTTAACAATGACAATGATGTCTTTGAATGATAATACAGAAAATAAAGTAAATTTTATTACCAAATTGCAATATGCCTAATAACAGAAATTCTTCATTTGTACACCAAATATAGCGAATAGGTGACGCTAAGGGGTTTAAATTACGGCTTTGAAATACCGGACCGACCGTTTGTATTTAAGACTTCGCGATGGCCACAAAATGTTATCAAAACGCCATTTTAAACTTTTAAAATTATAAAAATCAGAAAATGTTGTATGCTAGCTCGAGCTTTTCTTCATAAAGGTATGCATAAAGAGCTAGAGATTTTTACATGGCTTCTTGTCATTTGTCACGGGATATTTTCTAGGAACCTTGAAATCCCTACATTATTATTATGGACATAAAACTCTTGATATATTTTTTGCTACAGAAATAGAATGGTGACTTTTCCCGATTTTGGAAATGTGAGTTGGGAGCAATATTACAGAAAAGTATGTTTAATTGTTTTTCAAATACTCCAATCGGACCACGCGACTCTTTCCATGATGATTTTGTCGTATGTTATATGCTGAAGAATTTATTGGTGAAGTGAAACCAACCCGAACTTCACCATTTGCGGATTTGTTTTGTAACTATATTTTTATTGTATGAATGAGGATTTGCCTTCTCATGTTGAACCTTTGCGTAAAACATATAAAGAATATATACATGAAAAACGATAGGTTTTTGATTTTTAATACCTCTTACACATAAAATTTAGATTTCGGTTTTCTTAACTGTATGAAATAGAATGAAGAAAGAAATGAAAGCGTTGCCGAATTCAGTTTTTGCATGTTGATAGGCGAAATTATTAATTTTTATGCTTCTATGGCGCTCAAATTTCGTAAAAAGTCACGCGATTACCGACCAATATAACCCATGACATAATTTTGACATACCTGATCTCTACCTATAAATTTTGTTATTATTTATATTATATTCATGCTTATGCAAAATAAATTACGGTGAAATGTGTCATATCCCATCAGGCTGGTTGTTGTCGAAAATGTAAATAAAGATAATCCGCTTGATAAAGTTTGTGTACAAAACTGGAGGGAAGAAATCTGGGCAATTCTACCATAAAAATACATTAAATTCACCGCATCCCACAGTACTTCTTTTTATAGTATAAAATTAAAAATATATACGAGATTTTTATTCACGCCCTGGGCATTTGGCACGGCTGATATGCAGCTCATGTTTGAAGAGGCTATAGAAATAATTATATCAAAATAAATATAGTTCTAGTAATTTTAACACGCCTCAAAAATGTCCTATTTAGGTGAGAATTTCTTTCAAATATTTAATATAAAATAACAAGAAGATGGCATTGATTTAAAAAAAAGGAAAATTTTTATTCGAAAGGTCGTGAACTCGGAAGTACGACGTCCTGCCTTGTATTTCCCGATTTATATCAAGTGGGTAAAATTCTACGAAATCGAATTAAGTACAGAGCGTCGTTTGTGAAATTTTAAACGCTTTAAAAGTAGTAAATAAGAAATATTGTTTAAATAGAATTTATAAAGTTATATAAACATTTCTTTAACTCTTAAATCCGCGATAGAAGGGCAGGGAGTGTAGCAATCGCAATTGGCATGGACGAATTGATTTCCCGCCTGCTAAAGTTAGACCACACGTCACGCAAGTAATCAGTCCTCGCCTTGTAGTAATGCTCTTATTATACAAGTCTAAGATATATATATATTTTATATACGTTTTTATGTACGTAGTCTTTATATGTTTTACGTAAAGGTCCAACATCTATATAATATATATATATATATATTATAAAACAAAATGCGAGAATTTATCTAGAAATGCATAAATACTGCATTTTAACCGAATAAAAATCATTTTATTGTGGGCTTTAAACAAAAATAACAACCAATAATAATATATACATACGATAGATACATTAACAACGGAAAATATATTTTAGATCGTTAATCTTTTTAGTGTCGATATTTCAGATAACTCTAACTTCTCTTAACACTTTTGAAAACTTACACTCGCTTTAAGTTTACTCAAACGTGAATGTTGATCGCACTGTGAGTCGAATATAAATTGCTGACCTGACTTTGTAATCTTTTTAAAGCGCTGTCCGCTTTTGCTTATTAAGTCTAAACAAAAACTGGCTAAATGCTGTTGGTTAGATCTAGCATTTATTTAAGACTTTAACGCAATATCTCAATTCCGCAATATGATAACGTTATCTTCTTCCTGTCGAATTTCGCATATATTTTTCAAACACCGGGCAGATTATGAAATAGGAAATATAGCTGAATGCGCATTTTAACGCATTTTCAAACGCAAATACCGGCACAGCATATACCGGTAAGCATAAACATTAAGCAAACTAAATCATTTGTTAACCGATATACCGAATATATACAGATTATAAATTGAAACGCGGAAGCATTTGAACATTGGATATTTTATCCAAATGTTTCGCAATATTTTGTAGCAGGCGAACCTAAAATTTATGATATTTTCATTATGATCGATTTAGTGTGATTGAGCTAATGCATTCATATAACTTTGATTCAATTTAGGCATGATACAGATAAATCGCTGTGTTTGTATACATGTATTTTATTTTACTCGCCTGGCATTTAACAAAAAGCACCGACAGACAAAAAAAAATCCGATAGCTTCATGTAAAAACTACGGATTTGTAACCATAATTTGTAAATACTAAAACTTTCCAGACTTCAAAAATATAAAAAGTTATGCACGATCATGAATATACCAAGCATAATTGTTGAAACAGATGGTTTTGCTGAGTACAAATCATGACACGTAAATTACCAACTCTGCAAAAATTAAATCCTTTGTTATTCGTCGGTGATTTTCTTGAAATGAAGAACAATAGATAAAACGATCGTTTTTTTTAACAAACTCATCAAAAACAATGATTTCGTGATATTTACTTCCTTAGGGTTTCCATGAACGTGAAATCGACTTGCTCTATATTAAATGAATACATCTAGCTTGACGTCGTGTCACAAGACTGTATATTAATTACAACAGTGCATTAAACCGGGTTTGCATTGAAACATTCATCCTAAAATTAGATTTTCCTATTGTTTTAACGTATTTAATGTAATACAGATAATCCACAACTACCAAATGTTTTTTCGTGAACTACGTGATCGAAACAACATTTCACAGTATTGAAACCGAAAGCAGTATTGATTGCATCAAAATATTACCATTGCGATTAATATTAATAAAAGAAACAAATAATAGCATACGAGTAATGTAGAATAGATTTTTCTGACATTCAAGAAAATCAAATTCTAATGATGTCATCCATCTTTATCCAATTACGATCAAATGTTAATAATAAGTATTGAAAAACCAATGTTCTGTTTTAAGTGAATGTTTTAGTTTCATATTTATTCAGAAATACAACTTAATAAACGAAAATCGATTTTTCTGCTGGTTAGATTTGGCCATAAGTTAATTATTATTTGGACCGATTTTTAGTATTGATTGATTATTACGAATGTTTACACATGACCTACAGAAACGACATGCTCTAGGTTCAAATATATAAAAAAAAGTTTTTAATATGATACTACGAATTACAGGAATTTACTAAGCTGCAAAAAATTATCTGAGAACACATAGTTGTTGTTCGCGTATATTTAAATTGCATATATTTAAATTGCTTCATGCTTTAAAATTGGCAAGTCATTGTTTCGCTACTTCACTTATAAATATAAGGTTTACCTATTCAAAATCATAAATAAAGTTTGAAATTGGCATCTACTACAGTCTATATATACTACGAGTATAGAGCATTATAGCCTGTATATTAGAAAAATACTTCATAAATTGCACTTTTATTCAATTTAACTGCACGCGATTCTTAAACGTAGCTAAACTCGATTCAAAAATCCACTCAAGATACCAGATATTCGGTTGCAATTAGTTATGGCAATTTTCTCGAGCAAACTTCGTTTCAAGTCGACCCAAAAACGCATTTTTAAGTGGAAACTGTAAACCGCTTACAAAACACATTTGTAAAAACGGTAAAAAATATAAAAACAAAAAAATTCCAATAAATGTAATTGTACGACTGTTTATGCTTTTGTTTATTTTGAAAAGGCGTTAGCGAGGTATTCCAACGGTTTCCGAAATAAAGTTGCAAGGACAAAAATTAATGATTCAATCAAAGTACTACACACTCTGAATAAAATTAATCGAATACAATTAAAATAGACTATATTCATATTATATATATATCAATATTTATCGTACTTTGTAGACCAGCTAAACTATTATTACTCACCGTTGAATAGGAATGCTTCATATTGCACAACAAGTGTAATCATCACCATTAAAATATGAAGTCCGTTCATGTTGCTCATAGTACTATTATAATGTAACTAAGATTTTATCAGTTCGGATAATCTAAACATACAAATTTTAAAATTAATAAAGAAACGTTACTTGCTCGTCATTCAGATAAACATATCAACGATGATATTGAATTCATGTTAGACAATACGACGACATTAACCCCATGTCGTTGTGGTACTTACTAACCTTCAAGCGTTCGTTTTCAACGCAGCCACATCATATAAAAACGTGTTTAAAGCCGCACCAAATGTCAATAAAGCTTTTTTAAATCTGCCATCTACTCCATGCTATCCAACTGAAAACGAAAAATATCGCTTCACCATGTTGATGTGAGAGAAAGCAGATCGCATAGGAAAGAGTAATTTAATTCGAGAGAGATGACATTTTGAAACGACAAAGAAATCTCTCATTACCTGGGCCATGGGTTCACAAGTAATGCATCGTAATTTGCATTCCCGTCGAATACAATCAATTAAAAATAATAATAACATGAAGGTGATATGATATCTTGATGATGCGATTCATTCAATCAGTCACATGACACAAATTGTTATGAAACATAATCTCATTTAAGCTTTGAATCTGATAGGAACAGGCGACTACGCACACACACTTCTATGTTGCATATGGTCGCGTATAATCGAGGCAGAACTTATTGTATTGAAAAATATTGCATTGTATGCTATAAGTATATGGTCTTTAAAAACGTTGGTGTCGATGAAAATCGTCCCTGAATTTGGTACTTGAGAGTACATAATCCAGTAATTTTGAACACGACATTTCTTATTTAGCCATGACTATTTTAGTCATCTATCTGTATTTAGTATTTATTAGTATTATTTCAACATAATATTTGTTTTAGCTTTGCAAAAAGACTAAATATTTATATTCTTGGCACCAAGAATATTAAACACGCGATTGGTTGGAGACATTGAAAAGTATATTAAAATATACGTACTTTTTAAAATTCGTGCAACGTAATGTAAATGCTCTTATTACTTAACGTACGTGATATTGTGTCACATAGTTCGGATAATTTTGAGACAAAAAATTATTTGTATTACTGTAAAATTCCGCTAATTTTGCTGCACATATTTATTTAATTCTTTAATTTAAACAATAAAGCTAATTTTAAATACATGCTGAGCAAATTTCATACAACTCTTGAACATTTTTTGCGCAACTTATTCGACATTTGGGTTTACAATAGCAGGTTCTTTACATGAACAACAATATAATTTCTGACAAATTAGACCTGTTTTACATATTTGTATCAAAAAGTTTGAGTCCATGGCACGTGAATTTCATGTAACAAAGCGATCTCACTTAAAACGGAAAAATTGTTTCTTCCGGTTCGCGGATACGATGCCATAATGTCATCTTTATGTGACCTCGATATAAAGATATCCAATACTACAAAGAAGAGTTTGTCAAATAAGTCAAGTAATGAAGGTTTTCGAAACTAAAAGCCATAACAATTCATGCTACCTGAAGCGTTAATGTTAAAGTTTTAGAAAATACTTTTAAAAAGTTTTTCTAAATTCTAAGGATTTTATGATCATTTCAACTTATGTATCAAATTTGTCGATATTAGTAATCGCTGTGGGCACTTTTAGTATTGATTTCAGTCAACTGATATTTGTATTTATAGTTGTGCGAAGCCATGTTTTGAACGGACTGCTTGAGATGTATGGGCGTAATGATTATTATCCATATTCTTATCAGTTCCGCGAGATTTATTCCACGATCCATCTATCAAATTCACTACAAAACATATCATGATTGTATCTTTTGATTAGAGTCAGCATATCTGAAAATTCGTGGTATGAATTCGAAGATTATTAAATGTTATAAATTTTAAAATAATAACACGCAATGTAGTAGTGGAAAAGTGATGAAGATTGATAGAAAATTAATTTTTGACCCGTGCCATAGCAAGACATGATTATAGTGTTTATTAAAAAGTAAGAAACGATGTTGGCGCACCTTAAAAAGAATAAACTTCAATGTAGCTTCGACAAATAATAATTATAATATCACATTTTCGTATACCAAAAAAAACTTCACCAAAAATGCCTATTACCCTGTTTTTGTTGAAGTATGTCTAAACAGATCAGGAACTAATAAGACACCACATTTTTTTGACCTGCATATATAATTTAAACACTTTAGTTTGTATCGTGTTGGCGTATATTTTAAAATCGATTTAAATTCGAACAGAGAAAAGACATTTTGTAAAGTTTGCTATTTTTGGTGCAGGTCATTTTCTCAGTTGTTTTCTGGCGGGATTGACATGAATTATTTCAAGTTTCGTGTCAACACTATCTATTTGAATTCCACAATTGCAGGGATAAACTGATGTATTCGTTGGCGCGCCTGTGTTCGCTTGCAACTGTTCTATTTATATTTTTCACATTTAGTTGAGGCGTCCTGACCTTCCTTTGGAAAAAAATTAATATAAAATAAAGTAAGATATATATATGTATATATATATTTCAGTAAGCAAAATTATTTTATTGTTTTGGTTTGTTAAAATATTCGACAACTTTGTCGTCTTGTAAAAAAGGAAAATTTAATTTTGCTCATTCTGTTATGTATGTTTATCAGCGAGTCCTAACAGAATCAATTACATGTAGAACTTATCTTATAAGTTTGCATGGAATGAAAAGGAAGAAGCAAACTTTCATCTATTCGTTCTGTTTTTTTTTTCGCTATGCTTAACATAGAATGAATACATTACATAACTGGTATTTTTATGGGCTTTGTATACACTTCGTGACACGATAATACACCGCCACTGGAGGCCCTTTCATGGGCTATTCGTCACGCTAATAACCAAATTGCGTAAGTCATTTTTAGCAGTTTTGAGAAAAACGTAAAAAACTTTCTAATGATATTGCTATGCCATTGAGAGTCATTAATTTGCCATAGTTTAATTATTCGCTCGAAGCCGGATTTGAGTTAATTTGTATGACGCATTTATTATGTGACGTCATAATGGCGCACGGTGACTTAGCAGAAATGTGTCTATAACTTGGGGACATACGCAATTTTGCAACTTGACTATATGCACCAACCAAGGTGAATTGGACTCGACAGTGAATATCACAAGTCCATACCCTCCTATACTGTAGTATAAATTCAAATTTATAAGCGCTAATTAAGCTAGAATCTGAGATGCAAAAACTCGATAATCCTTCGCCGAGATTTTTACTTATCGATTTTAATCGGTAAGTATGTTGATAGGCATTTGTCTGTCTGTCTGTCTGTCTGTCTGTCTGTCTGTCTGTCTGACTGTCTGACTGTCTGACTGTCTGTCTGTTAGATGCACGCGATATCTCACGAAAGCGAGATTAAATCTGCTCCAGATTTTGCATGTGCATTCATCATATGTCGGACCAGAAGGATATATAGGTTCCTGATTTGCAAACCAAGCATTCTGCCTCATAATCATTCCATATAACTTAACAAGGAACTAGCTGCTATCAAATACACTTGAAGCTGCTCAACGAGACGGGTAAAACAGTCAGCGAATAATAATAATCAGAAAGTTAACCTAAGTGGTAAACATCATTGATAAGGAAAAACGCTCTGTTACATCATAATTCTACACAACCTCATAGTCTTAGCAGTGTGCACAGTACGATTGCAGATGCAGTAAAATTCCGGATTCCGAACATTTGAGCATTTTTTTAAATTCTTTCCGGACGCAAAATTTAACGCTAAATTCCGGACATGTCCGGAATTTTCCGGACGGTATGGCAACCCTACTATAAGCAGCAGGGCAGCCAGTATTTTTAAATAGAAAGCCGGTTTAAAATTTGGAATCGAAAATTACCGCGCAACATTCTTCGCGATTAGGCCACTCGTTGAAAAAAGACTTTTTAAGCGGATAACGAGTTTTCTGTTGCATAAAATATTCAATCCGGGGCCGATGCAAACATTTATAATGTCTTGTCATATTTATTTAAATGTGTTCATTGTTACTCGCCTTTGAGTTGAGATTACTGTTACGATAAATGAAATGAAATATTATTATTCTAAAATGACATCAAACACGTGCTAAACTGACAACTTAAATAGATTGAAATCATATTTTCGCGATATTTTGATTCGTTGAATTTGTGTTGTTTTTTCCCAAATCCCAAATCCCAAAGTCGGCGTAAAAATCTCAATGAGTGCCATTTATAATTGAGCAGTTCATGACCGATGCATTGTTTATTGGTTTAATTGTGATGGATGTGACTGTGGTTGAGTCGACTTACGACTATATAAAATCATTACTTATCAAAACTGCCTCGAGTTTGCTTGAACAAAACTTATGTCCGTTCCGTTTTAGGTTTTAGTTTTATTATTTTATAATGCCGCTTTTCAATCAAGAAATTTGGGTTGCGGATCCACCTCTTTATTAATTATTTTTATCATCTCGTCGTCGATAATTATAATATACTAACTTGTTTTTCACACTGAACTCACAATTTCGCACGAGAACAAAAAGGTAATTAATTATCGTCGTGTTCGTGGAACAAAATATTCGTGGAAAGCCTTAATGTCAGGGCCGGATTATGTTTTTTGATATGCCCTAAGCAAGTCCCTCAGCATCTCGTCGTCGATAATTATAATATACTAACTTGTTTTTCACACTGAACTCACAATTTTGCACGAGAACAAAAAGGTAATTAATTATCGTCGTGTTCGTGGAACAAAATATTCGTGGAAAGCCTTAAATATCAGGGCCGGATTATGTTTTTTTATATGCCCTGTGCAAGTCCCTCAGCTGATGGATTTTCTGATGAATTTTTATTGCGCCCGTGTTGTCGTTCTACCTTCCGCCCTGAAATTTTCTTGTTTTCATATTTTTTCCACTGTGCGCTTGCTTTAACTTTTTTGATACGTGTGTTGCTGATTGTATTTTGGTTCTGCATGCTTCCCTCGATAATCTCGCCCTGATCGCTAAGGCCATCGCGGCTGATCGATTTTCGTTTCCTGCTCCTGACCCTTAAATCCTCCCTCCTCAACTGCTCTTGATATCTTTCG